AAGACAAGATAACAGAATAACAGAGCTGCAGATCATCCAGTCCAGGGGTGAAATCCAGCAGGTTCTGACAGGTTCTGGAAAACCAGTAGCGGAAATTTTGAGTAGTTCAGAGAACTGGCAAATACCACCTCTGGCTGGCCCCAGAGTGGGGTGGGAATGGAGATTTTGCAATGTCCTTCCCCCAGGAGTGGGGAAGGAATGGAGATTTTGCACTATCCCTCCCCTGGAATGGGATGGGAATGGAGATTTTGCAGTATACTTCCCCTGCCACACCCACCAAGCCACGCCCACCAAGCCTCACCACACCCACCAAGCCACACTCACAGAACCGGTAGTAAAAAATTTGGATTTCACCACTGATCCAGTCCAACCCCCTGCCCAAGGAGGAGATACTACACCATTTCTGACAGAGGGCAGTCCAGTCCCTTCTTGAAAGCCTCCAGGGATGAAGTTCCCACAACTTCTGAAGGCAATTTCTGCTCCATCGGTTGATTGCTTTCACTTTCCTCCTTATCTCGGTTGAATCTCTCCTTGATTAGTTTCCAGCCATTATTTTTGTTTTGTTTTGTTTTTTTGTTTTTTTAATTTGATTTATATGCTGCCCTTCTCCTGAGACTCAGGGCGGCTTACAATGTGTTAAGCAATAGCCTTTATACTTTTGTATATTTTATACAAAGTCAGTTTATTGCCCCCACAAACTGGTTCCTCAATTTACCTACCTTAGAAAGGATGGAAGGCTGAGTCAACCTTGAGCCTGGTGAGATTCGAACTTACTTTAATTGCAGCAGCTGGTGTTAAATTACAGTGCTTAGTCTGCAGAGCTATCCAGGCTCTTGTCTTGCCTTCTGGTGCTTTGGAGAATAGGTTGACTCCCCTCTTCTTTGTGGCAGCCCCTTAGATTTGGAACTAAATATCTAGCTCATGGTCACTAAATGAACTGTTGTAAGTGGAGGACTACCTATACACCATGACTTAATTCAGCATACAAACTCAGCCAGCGCCGAAGCTGGGAGAGAATGAAGCTTCTAATTTCTGACTGTCTGTCTGCTGGCTACCAAATGTGTTGGTTGCCAAAGATTTACTTGATCCATGACTTGGCTGGACATTTTGCCTGGATATCAGAATCAGAATAGAGTTGGAAGAGACCTTGGAAGTCTAGTCCAACTCACTCCTCAAGTAGGGAGATTCTAAACCATTTCAGACAGGTCCAGTCCAGTAGTGGGATTCAAATCCCATCACTACTGATTTGCTCGCATGCGTAGAGACATCCGGGCAGGTGGACGGAGCCTCCCATCGCTGCTGCTATCAGTTTGCCTGATCTGGGGCTGTTGTGGCCCGTCAGCGGCCTGTGCGGATTGTAGCTGATTCTGACAGCGAGGAGGCTGGTGTGGTGTTGCGCTAGCAGCCTGTGCAGCTGGCACCCGAGTCAGACAATGAGGAGGCTGGAGAAGATGTGGTGCCAGAGGCGGGGATTCAGCCAGGGCCTTCAGAACCTCCAGAAACTCCTTTAAGTGAAGAGGACGAAGAGGAGGAAGGAGCCTCTTCTCGATGCACGGGCGCACAGAGCTGCCAAAAGACCTCCTCCTGAGGAGCCACTCCTCGAGAGTAAGGCTTGGGGCTAATTGGCCACTCCCTTAGCCTATTTAAGGAGGAACGCCGACTGAAGCAATTTGTAGGGAACAACTTTAGTTCATTCTCCTTCACGTCTGGATTCTCTGCAAATTGCTTCTGGGCTTTATGCCAACCTTAGTAAGATTGTGATTACTTTATCTTTGGTTTCTTGTAGGCTGTTAAGAAAGTTTATTAACAGCCTTCGTTTTTAAAAAGACTGAGTTATTTTAGTAAACTTTAGTAAAGTTTTGTACAAACTTTGTGTGTGCTGTGTTCTTTGGGATCCGTAGCTGGGGCAGAACACTGCCGCACACTGCTGGCGCATATTTATTTAAGTGATTGTCCACTCAGACTCCAAGGTCTCTCTCACAGTTACTGTTTTTGAGATAATTGGTTGCTAAGTTGTGGGAACACCGAAAAGGTTTTTGGTTGCTTGGAAAATTGCTCATTCGCCAAAGAGGCCTGTTTATGAACTGTCTGGGGTTGTAATTTTGGCTCTGGGTTGTGCCAATGAGAGAGATGGCGGCCGAGAGGGAGAGTTGGCTGTGAAATTGTACAACAGTGGACTTTACACTGTCTGCACAGAAAGCCCTTATTACTTCTGTAAATTACTTCTGCATTAACTCTATTATAGAGTTAATAGGACTGGTTGTTGCCAAGATAGACACTTCTGGGCCGTTAATATTGGCATAATGTGCATATAATTCACAGATGATGCATTTTGCAGCTAAGCTGTTTTCAGCTTGTCTGTCTGGAATAAGGGAGACCAATTTCCGCTCCGTTTCCACCACGCACTTAAATGAGTCACAGGTAGGGTGTTGCGGGAACAACAAAACTCACTCAATTTATGACCTTAAGACTGTAGGAAGTTAGCACCCACCCCTTTCCTAGAAGAATGAAATATTTTAGGAAATATTAAAAAAGCAGAATATTATATTTTCCTGGTTGAGAAATGGAGAAGCGTATTTTAAAGACGAAGCAGCTTCCATCTTCCTGCCCCCACCCTTTGTCAATGGGCCAGAGGCAGAAGCTCAATCTTTGTCAATGGACCATCATCTGCAACACAATAGGACCCATCTAGCAACAGAAACTAACACAATAGGACCCATCTAAGCAACAGAAACTTACCACATGGCACCTGGGAAGATTACATCAGCCAGCAAGGCTAGCTAAGACCCCCACCCCCTGGGAGTCTGACAACCAATCAGGATACTCTTTCTGGGCCCCAGGAAGTTCAAAGCCAGAGAGGGCATAAAACCCGGGGACTCACTGCGTTTCGCCCCTTTTCTGTTCAGGAACTCAAACCATGTGATTCTGTCCACCATTAAACCATATTTCCAAGCAGTCTCCATGTTTCCAGTATCTCTTCCCCCACTTGGAGCTGAACCCAGAAGGACATTTCTTCCTACAAGACACAGCAACAGGTCATAAATAGGAACCGGTTGCCGAGAGCGTCTGAATTTTGATCACCTGACCATGGGGATGCTGTAAAAAGTCGTGTAACTGAAAAACTATCGTAAATTCCATTTTTTTCAGTGCCGTTGTAACTTTGAACAGTCACTAAAAAACAGATGTAAGCTGAGGACTACTTACTGTGTGGCGAATAATTAGGGTCACGGTTAAGTGTGTCTAAGCATATTATACAACCATCCTTGCTGTGATTCACTTAGCAGCGTATTAATTTTTAAATCCACCCAGCCCCTTCTTTTTAGTTTGATGGAGGACTACATGAATAATTCTCTCCTACTATCCAATTTAATGCATCTGGAAGAGTCAGCCCCGAGACTGTGATGGGTAAGCATCTTTGGTGCATGCAATGGGACCACTTCTGCCTCTCTAGACGACGTGAAGCTGAAATCAACCCAACTCTTCGCTTTTGAATCTGGAACAGGAAAGCAGAGGGCATGTTTTTTTTGCAGAAAAAACAATGGCTACCAACCTGCCTTCCATTGAGGACCTGTATACTGAATGAGTCAAAAAGAGGGCTGTGAAAATATCTACAGACCCCTCACATCCTGGACATAAACTGTTTCAACTCCTACCCTCAAAACGACACTATAGAGCACTGCACACCAGAACAGCTAGACACAAGGACAGTTTTTTCCCCGAATGCCATCACTTTGCTAAACAATTAATTCACGCCACACTGTCAAGCTATCTAGAAAGGCAGTATTTACCCATCATTATTCTCCTCTTCCCTATTTACCTAGCTCCTTATCTTCTTAGAGCTATAACTTTGTTGCTTGTATCTTCCCATTTAAATTGTTTACTTAGTATCCTAATATGATTTATATTGATTGCTTTTTTAGTATCCATGACTATCACTAAGTGTTGCATCTAATGTTTTATGATGAATATGTTTTTACAATGACTATTGTTGTATGTACACTGAGAACTTATGCACCGGAGACAAATTCCTTGTGTGTCCAATCACACTTGCCCAATAAAGAATTCTATTCTATTCTATTCTATTCTATTCTATTCTATCTTATCCTACTCTACTCTTCTACTCTAGTCTACTCTTCTACTCTAGTCTACCCTAGTCTACTCTCATCTACTCTACTCTCATCTACTCTACTCTCATCTACTCTACTCTTCTACTCTACTCTAGTCTTCTACTCTAGTCTACTCTAGTCTTCTACTCTTCCATTCCATTCTTAATTTCAAACATTCCCAGGCAGAAATGCTGGGGTGGCAGAGCTGAAGGATAAACTAAAGTTGGGAATTTACGCAGAAGAGCCAGTGAAACATGGTGAAGTCACTCAAATGTTACTGATAGCAGCGTAAAATAAGGACTTGGAGCTTTCTGATGAATCTCAGGCTTTGAACTAATTGATCCAGGATGGAAAGCGGGTGCAAGCTGAGAGATTAATGGGGCTATTACTTTAGTTGCTATAACTAAAGCAATTAGGGACAAACTAATTGAGTTGAAAATTGCAATGAGCTGGTAGCTCTGGGTTTACCTGCAGAACAGTGAGAAGCAGCTTGGATCGCTTGAGAAAAGAATCCGACCACTAGATGGCAGCAAGGCTATACTTTAAAATCTAGTTCTCTGCTGCCATCTAGCTAGCAACTGGATTTTTGCAACCCATGTATAGAAAGTCCTGTTGTGTCATTTCAACATTGGATTTACTCAGCCCAATCATAGAGCTGGCCTGGCCTTTGGGGTTTAGCAGGGAGATTTCAAGCAGGTAATAGATTAACAGTATTGGAAGGGACCTTGGAGGTCTTCTAGTCCTACCCCCTGGTCAAGCAGGAAACTCTATACCATTTCAGACCAATGGTTGCCCAATCTGTTCTTTAAAACCTCCAGTGTTGGAGCACCCACATAGAGATACAGGTAGTCCTCGACGTACGACCACAAAAAAAATTGCCACCAACGCAAAGCATTTGGTTCAACCTCATGGTGTATTTTACTCGGTTGACCTTCGTTTTTAAAAAATAAATATTTCATCTTCAAACATCGACCCTTCGGTTTTGAATTGAGCAGGGAAGGAGAACCTCAGCCGCCGATGGACAACATAAATTATACAACAAAATGAAACTAAGAGAAAGCCCCCCCTCTCCTTCCCCAATACTCCCCCCCCAATTCCTGGCCTCAAAATGCAGCAAAGGAGGACAATTTTACATTTTATATATACATACATATATATTACTTTGGGGAAGAGTTGCTTTCCCCTCCTTCGGATAGTGTTCGGTACAACTTAAGCGATCTGGTTCCTTTTGAAGAGGTCGCATATCCAAAATGTGTGAAATTAAGATGAAGGCGTCAACGTGTTGAGTTCATGGAAGGATAACGGAAGGGGCCTCCCATGAGTTGGGCAGAATCACGGTTCCATCTTAGAGTTTTACTGCGCATCCCAGGCACGTAATATCAATTCCCAGTTCCTCGAGGAACCCATAAAATGCCTTTCCTTCTCAGAGAAGCAGGTGCAAAAAAAAGAGGTGTGGCTGCCCCACAGGTAGAGGAGAAAGGAGACCTGCTCAGGAGAATGGATGGTTGCTTCTTCTGCGAGAAGATCTGAAGGTCTTCCTGTGGCTTGGAGAACCACCGTCAAAACTTGGCTGGCTTTAAGGAGGTCCCAGAAAGATCTCACTCCAGACCCACTTGCCTGCCTTAGCAACTCTAAAATATCTTTTGGGGGGGGGCATCCATGCTTCTTGGGTTTGGCTGGTTTAATGTCTCCAGGAGCGCTTGGTCACTCCTTCAAAGGTCCCTTGAGCTTCTTCTTGAAGGATCTCCGATGCTGCAGGACACAAAGGGCAAAGAGGAAAGGTCAATGGGGGAAAAATATATATATGAGTTAGACAGGCAGGTTTGATCAGACCGGAGCAGGAAAAAAGGGATTTATCTTTTTTTTTTTATTGATTTTTTCAAAAAAGTTTTTTTATTTTTATTTCTCATAAACACATTTACATGTACAGTCATTTCCATCATTTTTCATTCATCTTTTCTTTTAACTTTCATTTTTAATTTTTACTTTTTCGGGGCTGCCCTTTTACCCTTTACCTTTACTCCAACCTTTCTTCTTCTCCTCCCCTTCTCTTCCTTCCTCTTTCTCCTCCTACTTCCTTCGTTCTTCCTCTCCTTCTCTTTCCTACTTCCCCTTCTCTTCCCCCACTCCTCTCTTCTTCCCCCCTTCTAACCTTCTCCTCTACTCCTCTTTCCCCTCCCTCTTCTTCCTCTCCTTTTCCCTTTCTTCTTTCTCCTCTCCTCTCTTCTCTTCTCCCTTCCTCCCTCTCTACTCCTTCCCCTCTCTCTTATTGTTTCCCTGAAAAAAGGGATTTATCTTGTGGAGGTCCCTTTAACTGGATTTATTGGTTTATATTATTTATTTATTTAATCGGTCATAAGAGCCGAGGTGGCGCAGTGGCTAGAGTGCAGCACTGCAGGCTACTTCAGCTGACTGTTAGCTGCAGTTCAGCAGATCGAATCTCACCGGGCTCAAAGTTGACTCAGCCTTCCATCCTTCCGAGGTGGGTAAAATGAGGATTGTTGGGGGGCAAATAGGCTGACTCTGTAAACTGCTTAGAGAGGGCTGTAAAAGCACTATGAAGCGGTCTATAAGTCTACGTGCTATTGCTACAAGTCACTTTTTTCAGTGCCATTGTGCAGTGGTGGGTTCCTCCCGGTTTGGCCCGGTTCAACCGAGCAGGTAGTGGTGACGATATGATGTCACCGAACCGATTCTCTTTGTTCAGGAGCTGCGTCCCCCCCCTGCCCCCCCGTTATTCTTACCTTTTATTTGGCCCCACCCCCAATCTATTGCTGCCTCCCGAGTCCCAGCTGATCGGCTAGAAGGAAAAAAACTGTTTAAACTCTTGCCACGGGGCTTCAAAGGCCCGCCCTACAGCTGATGAGTGTTAAAAGGCAGTGTGGTGGTAGACCGGTGCCTCCAAAAACAAATGAGTAAACCGGTGCCTCCAAAAACAAATGAGTAGACCGGTGCCTCCAAAAATAAATGGGTAGACTGGTGCCTCCAAAAATAAATGGGTAGACCGGTGCCTCCAAAAATAAATGGGTAGACAGGTGCCTCCAAAAATAAATGGGTAGATCGGTGCCTCCAAAAACGAATGAGTAGACCGGTGCCTCCAAAAACAAATGAGTAGACCGATGCCTCCAAAAACGAATGAGTAGACCGATGCCTCCAAAAACGAATGAGTAGACCGATGCCTCCAAAAACGAATGAGTAGACCGATGCCTCCAAAAATAAATGGGTAGACCAGTGCCTCCAAAAACAAATGAGTAGACTGGTGCCTCCAAAAACAAATGAGTAGACTGGTGCCTCCAAAAACAAATGGGTAGACCGATGCCTCCAAAAATAAATGGGTAGACTGGTGCCTCCAAAAATAAATGGGTAGACCGGTGCCTCCAAAAATAAATGAGTAGACCGGTACAGCTCTGCAAGCAGTTAAAAGCCTGGTAGACCAGTACCTCTGCTAAATCCTAAAGAATTGTCACATGATCATCAAGCCACACCCACAAAATAAGCCATGCCCACAGAACCGGTAGTAAAAAATTTTAGAACCCACCCCTGCCATTGTCGCTTCGAACAGTCACTATGCAAACTGTTGTAAGATGAGGACTACCTGCATTGCGTCCCCACCACAAGTTGGGCCATAACCTTGGGCTAAGAGTCCACACTCACCTTGGCACTGGGTGCAACACGAGTCCCCCTTTTTCCCTTCCTTGGAGCAAGAGGTTGGGGAACATTCTTGACGCTCACAATGTGTTTCCCCAGACTGAAATTAAAAAAAAGCCACAACAACAACAAGAATTTGCTGGAAGAGAGCTAGGATTATACAAGATCCCCAAACAAATAAATAAATAAATAATAAATAACTTTATCGTCATTGTACGTGTATACACAGTATACCCATACACCCAAAGTATACTTAACACCCAAAGACCAGGCCCAACACACATAACAATCCCCAAACACACTCCCACCCACCACAAATTCCCTGCCCCTAAACATCCACACAACAGACCAAGTAATGGTATCCAACAGCTCACTGATGGCATCCCTTTAGTTCATTGTTGAGTGCAATTATAGCTCCCCTAACAAAAACTTCAAGACAACAATTGGGTGGCAACAGCTTTCAGACCGTACAGCCAGATTACAGGTAGTCCTCGACTTGCGACCACAACCGATCCCCAGAATTAATGCTGCTCAGTGAGACGGTTGTTCAGTGAATTTTGCCACGATTTGTTAAGTGAATCACTGCAGTTGTTCAGTTAGTAACAGGGTCGGTGAAGGGAACCTGGCTTCCCCGGTGAATTTGCTTGTCAGAAGGTCACAAAAAGGGATCACGTGCCCCCTCCCCCCTCCCCCGCAGGACACTGCAACTGTCGTAAATGTGAGCCAATTGCCGAGCGTCAGAATTTTGAGCATGTGATGCTGCAATGGTCGTAGGTGTGAAAAATGGTCGTAAGTCGCTTTTTTCAGTGCCGTTGTAACTGCACTAAACACTAAACAAACTGTTGTAAGTCGAGGACTCCCTGCATTTTCCTTCCACCCACTGGGATACCGGCCATCTCCTATGAGAGAGACATCCCCATTGCCAAGCTACCCCCACTGAGTTTTGCCGTGGAAATTTCCACCTCCTCCTGCCACGGATGCCTCCCTACTCACCAGGCACCAGCAGGTGATGCATTTCATCTCCCCGAAAGGGGGCACTGTAGGGTGCCACCTCTCATTGTGCATGAACCACTGACGCCCAAACTTGCAAGCTCGGGGGCCGTCCGCTTGCATCATGTCGGAAAGCAGGGAAGAGCTCTTCTCCGAGGCTGTGGAGAAAAGGCAGAGCGTGAAGAACAAGGGGAAGAGCAGAAAAGGAGAAAGTTGGTTAGAATAGCAATAGCACATCGACTTATATACCGCTTTTCATAGTGCTTTTACAGCCCTCTCTAAGCAGTTTACAGAGTCAGCATGTTGCCCTCAACAATCTTATTTTATTTTATTTTATTTTATATTGGATTTCTATACCGCCCTTCTCCCTGAGGGCTCAGGGCGGTGTACAGCCAGATTAAAAAACATGCAGAACAAATATTAAAAACAATTAAAAGATATATAAATTTGGCCCAATTAAAACTCATTTACCAATTAAAAACGTTTAAAACATTTAAAAACAGTTAAAAATTTCATCTTAAGCCAGCCCGGCTTGTTTAAATAAATGGGTTTTAAGGGCGCGACGGAAGGCATTGAGGTCCTGGATTCTCCTTATCTCTGGGGGGAGCTGATTCCAGAGGGTAGGTGCCCCCACAGAGAAGGCTCTCCCCCTGGGGGTCACCAGCCTACATTGTCTGGCTGATGGCACCCGAGGAGGCCCTCTCTGTGGGAGCGCACGGGTCGATGGGAGGTCGTTGGTAGCAGCAGGCGGTCTCGAAGATAGCTAGGCCCTATGCCATGGAGCGCTTTAAAGGTGATAACCAACACCTTGAAGCGCACCCGGAAGACAACTGGGAGCCAGTGCAGCTCACGCAGGAACGGTGTTACATGGGAGCGCCATGCTGCTCCCGTCACTACCCGCGCTGCTGCGTTCTGGACCAGCTGGAGCCTCCGGGTGCTCCTCAAGGGGAGCCCCATGTAGAGAGCGTTGCAATAGTCAAGGTGAGAGGTGACAAGGGCGTGAGTGACTGTGCACAGGGAATCCCGATCAAGAAAGGGCCGCAACTGGCGAATCAGGCGAACCTGACAAAAGGTCCCCCTGGTTACAGCCGTCAGATGTTCCTCCAAGGACAGCTGCATATCCAGGAGGACTCCCAGATTGCGAGCCCTCTCTGTGGGGGCCAATGACTCGCCCCCAATAGTCAGTGATGGAGTCAACTGACTATATCGGGATGCCGGGAGCCACAGCCACTCAGTCTTGGAAGGGTTGAGCTTGAGCCTGTTCCTCCCCATCCAGATCCGTACAGCCTCCAGGCACTGGGACATCACTTCAAGGGCATCGTTGGGGTGGCCTGGGGTGGAGATGTACAGCTGGGTGTCATCATCTGGGTCATTTTGCCAACCTTGGAAAGATGGAAGGCTGAGTCAACTTTGAGTTGGTCAGGATCGAACTCCTGACAATGGGCAGAGTTAGCCTGCAATGCTATATTCTAACTACTGTGAAACCACAGTTCTTCTGTGGTGGTTCTATCTATCTATCTATCTGCCTACCTACCAACCAACCAACCATCCAAACATCCTTCCCTCCCTCCATCCATCCATTAACTATAACAATAGCAATAGCACTTATCTACCATTTCATAATGCTTTGCAGCTCTCTCTAAGTGGTTTACTTAGTCAGCATATTTGGCCCCAACAATCAGAGTCCTCATTTTACCGACCTCGGAAGGATGGAAGGCTGAGTCAACCCTGAGTTGGTCAGGATCGAACTCCTGACAATGGGCAGAGTTAGCCTGCAATGCTACATTCTAAGCACTTTGAAACCACAGCTCTTCTGTGGCAGTTCTATCTATCTATCTATCTATCTATCTATCTATCTATCTATCTATCTATCTACCTACCTACCTACCTACCTACTACCTACCTACCTACCTACCTACCATCCATCCATCCATCCATCCATCCATTAACTATAACAATAGCAATAGCACTTATATACCACTTCATAATGCTTTGCAGCCCTCTCTAAGTGGTTTACAGAGTCAGCATATTTGGCCCCAACAATCAGAGTCCTCACTTTACCGACCTCGGAAGGATGGAAGGCTGAGTCAACCTTGAGCCGGTCAGGATCGAACTCCTGGCAGTGAGCAGTTAGGTTGCAAGGCTGCATTCTAACCACTGTGAAACCACAGCTCTTCTGTGGTGATTCTATCTATCATCTATCTATCTATCTATCTATCTATCTATCTATCTATCTATCTATCTATCTATCCATCCATCCATCCATCCATCCATCCATCCATCCATCCATCCAGTCCGCCTATTGCCCCCAACAATATGGGTCCTCATTTTACACAAACTCAGAAGGATGGAAGGCTGAGTCAACCTTGAGCCGGTCAGGATCGAACTCCTGGCAGTGAGCAGTTAGGTTGCAAGGCTGCATTCTAACCACTGTGAAACCACAGCTCTTCTGTGGTGATTCTATCTATCATCTATCTATCTATCTATCTATCTATCTATCTATCTATCCATCCATCCATCCATCCATCCAGTCCGCCTATTGCCCCCAACAATATGGGTCCTCATTTTACACAAACTCGGAAGGATGGAAGGCTGAGTCAACCTTGAGCCGGTCAGGATCGAACTCCTAGCAGTGGGCAGAATTAGCCTACAATGCTACATTCTAAACTACTGTGCCTCCAAAGTCTTGCATCACCACAACTTTGTTTGGCATAACTTACAATGGTGTTTTTTTCAATCTCAGCAACTTTTAAGATGGGTGGACTTTAAATCCCAGAATTCCCCAGCCAGCATGACTGGGAGATGGAAAAACTGCCCCATTCACTCAACAAACACCACAAAAAAAACCCCAAAACCATTGTAAAAACAGGACCCAGTCTTGTGGTGATCCACTTTATAACCGTCGTGAGATACACCCGCATTTGCCAGACTCAATGACCACCGTAATTCGAGGACTAATCTGTAAGAAGCATTTTGAAGAGGCGGGGAGCTGCTTCTAAAGGAATCATTTTCTCAACTTTGCTGGGACTTTACAAGGTGAACTGATTACCACTGTTCCATCCTGCAGTAGCTGGCTGGCAAGGGCAACAAGGTGTTATCTGACAGGTTTAACTGTTGTGGCCCGTCAGCAGCCAGCAGATCTGGCAGCAGACTCAGAAAGTGAGGAGGTTGGGGAGGAACATGGGCCAGTCCTGGAGTCTGGGGAAGGTTCTGATGAGGGCTCTGCGTCTGAGGCAGAGAGGAGGTCAGGGCCGTCTGACAGTTGTCAGCTGCCTTCGGAGTCAGACCTCAGTGAGGCAGAAGAACAGCTGGATCCTGTTCCCAGTGTGTGCCTGCGCAGAGCTGCCAGACGAAGGGAACAGCTAAAGAACAAGGGTCGACTCAGGAGTAAAGCCACAGGTGGAGGGTGAATGGCCCCTCCCAGAGGGAATAAAAGAGGAGCGAAGGGGAGGGGAGTTTGCAGGAGACAATTAGTTCATTCCTGCATTCTTGCCAAGTATTGTCTGTTGCAGTATGGAGTCTGAAAGATATCAGCCTGGCCACTCTCCAAGCCTGATAAAGGTCGGTAATTGTGAACTATATTGAAAGACTTGTGGGAGAGGAAAGACTTTGCTGGAGAGGAATTCACCGTAAATTAAATAAAAGGGGTTTATCGGGACGAGGACTCGGCTTCGTGCTGCTGGGGAAGGCTAGGGCAGAATATTAGCTTACCTGGGCATTGCTTACAGCAGTCGGATGGGTTGAGCCGGATGGGGTTACTGCAGGTCAGCTGTGGACACTGCACCTTCTCACAATGAACTTCCCCGGTGGTTCCCTGCACAATCACAGATGGGAAATTTTATTTTTTAAAAAAAAAATTAATATTTTATTATAATACAATATGACAAACACATAGCATACAACATATAAATATATCCTCTTTTTTAAACAATTTCTTGGTGGTCTTCTTTCCATTTTGTATCTTTCCTCCCCTTATCTCTTTCACTATTTTATTTTCTTCATTGTCCCTTTTTCTTTGGTTACATTGTATTTTCCAACACTAATAGCCTTATTTTTATACATTTCTATATATTTATTATATATATGTTTTACATTTTTAGATTTTTCCCTGTATTTATTATTCTCTATTTCTAGTCCCAAGCCATTCATACCATTTATTCCAAATTATGTAATAATCTGTCTCTGCTTTTTCTTTAATTTCTTTTGTTAGTTTGTCCATCTTGGCACATTCTAAAAAATTTTCTATCACTTCTTCATCTGTTGGAGTCCTTTCCTGTTTCCAATTTTGTGCATATGTTATTCGAGCAGCTGTTATGATGTGTGTAGAATCAGATATTTTATTTTTATTTATTTATTTATTTTTATATGCCACCCTTCTCCGGAGACTCAGGGTGGCTTACAATGTGTTAAGCAATAGCCTTCATACTTTTGTATATTTTATATAAAGTCAGCTTATTGCCCCCACAAACTGGGTCCTCATTTTACCCACCTTAGAAAGGATGGAAGGCTGAGTCGACCTTGAGCCTGGTGAGATTCGAACTTACAGTAATTGCAGACAGCTGGATGTTAAATGCTGCCTTAGTAGGAGGCATTTGCCTCCTACGCCTATTTTATTTCTATGGGGTATGTTCTTGTGAATATTCCTAATAAGAATATTCCTAATGAGGCTTTCTTTTGATTGATTGGTCTACTATTTTTTCTAGCCAGTTCTTTATATTTGTCCAAATTATTTCTGCTGTCGGGCACGTCCACCATAGATGGTCATATGTTCCATGAGTTTTCTTGCACTTCCAACAGGTTGAGGTAATATTTGGGAACATCTTTGCGAGTCTTGTCGGTGGAAGATGCCATCTATAAAACATCTTCAGCTGATTTTCCTTGTATGCCGCAGATTATGTTAATTTTGAATTTACTTGCCACATTGTTTCCCAGCATATGGGAAATTTTAGCACACAAAAGAACCACAGCATCATATATACACTGACGGCAAATTTCCAGTTCATGACATCCAGTGGATTACAAATCCCATCGTCCTCAAAGGAGAAGAACTGGGAACTGCTGTCCATTTGGAGTCAACAAAGCTACGATAAGTGCCGTACAGGCAGTTCTCAACCTACAACCATTTAGTGGCGATTCGAAAAACGTGACGTATATTTTTCCACACTTATGACGGTTACAGCACCCCCATGGCCACATGATCAAAAATCGGATGCTTGACAAGTGATTCGTATTTATGACCGTTACAATGTCCCCGGGGTCATGTGATCCCCTTTTGTGATAAGCAAAGTCAACGGGGAAGACCGATTCACTGAACAAACTTGTGTTACTAACTTAACAACTGCAGTGATTCATTCACTTAGTAATTTCCTAAGTTCATAAAATCGGGCAAAACTCACTTAAGAACTGTCTTGCTTAGCAAGAGAAATTTTGGGCTCAACTTGTGGTCGTACGTTGAGGACTGTCTGTAAACAGCCTTCCTCCTCCATATAGGAAAGCTGATCTTGCTTTTTAAAGAGCTGTAGGCAACGAAACTTCATTTTCATGTATGCCGATTAGTGTACATTCAAAGTGACAATAAAGTTATTCTAAGTTCTAAATTGGGGACTAGAACGCTGAGCTCCAATTTCCCACTGAGGACCATGGGATTTGTAGTAGGGAACTCTATCAAATATCTAGAGGTACACTTAACAAATTGCACTAGAGGGATCCCAACAGTTTCAATGGATTGTGCAAATGCACAACAGCTGGGTTAAGCCCGTTGGTGTGCAACACGGGCTTGTTCAAATGTCTGGTTGATGGTCCCTTCCTACCTTGCAGGTGCAAATGGCGCATTTGATGAGCCCAAAGGGAGGGACTACAGGATGCCAATGGGTGCCTGCGCGTCTCCACGTCTTGTCACCATCAAAATAGCATCCTAAGATAAGAGAAAGAGGAACAGAGCACCTGCGGTAAATGCAATGTAGATTTATTCTGTTGGAACTGTAGTCCCCCAATGGCCCCAAAGACTCAACTCTCCTTTGCTAAGCCTTGGCTAAATTCTCTATCCTATACCTAGCTTCCTACCCATCTACATCTGTCTGTCTGTCTGTCTACCTACTTATCTATCTACCTAATTTATCTATTATCTAACACTATCAATCTTCTATTTATACTTTTACTATCACCTGTCTACCTACCTATCAATCATCTATCTATACTATATCTACTATCTATCACTGGTCTACCTACCTACCCATCATCTGTCATCTATGTCTATCTATCCACCCACCCACCCACCCATCTATCCTATCATCTATGTATGTATGTATGTATGTATGTATGTATGTATGTATGTATGTATCTATCTATCTATCTATCTATCTATCTATCTATCTATCTATTATCTATCTATCTATCTATCTATCTATTACCTACCTACCTACCTACCTACCCACCTATCATCCATCCACCCACCCACCCACCCACCATCCATCCATCCATCATCCATCCATCCATCCATCCATCCATCCATTCCTATCATCTATCTATCTATCTATCTATTTATCTATCTATCATCTATCTATCTATCATCTATTATCTATCTACCTACCTACCTACCCATCCATCCATCGTCTATCATCTATCATCTATCATCTATCTACCTGCCTACCTACCTATCCATCCTATCATCCATCCATCCATCCGTCTATATCTATCTATCTATCTATCTATCTATCTATCTATCTATCTATCTATCTATCTATCTACCTACCTACCTACCTACCTACCTACCTACTTATCCATCCTATCATCCATCCATCCATCCATCCTTCTATCGTCTATCGTCTATCTATCTATAACCTACCTACCTACCCATCCTATTATCCATCCATCCATCCTATCGTCTATCATCTATCGTCTGTCTATCTATCTATCTATCTATCTATCTATCTATCTATCTATCTATCTATCTATCTATCTATTCATCCACACATACAGTATATAACACACACAGATACATATATAAGTATAAATATTGATATCAATAAAAACAGGTCAATTAATATGTACATAATAAACAAGCCACATTTAGAATGAGGCTTCTAAAAGAAATAACCAGTCTAAAGCCACTCAAGCTTTTTAACCAGACTTTTCTAATGGAGGCCATTCAGATTGGTGGATTTCTGTTCCTGGGATCTAAGCAGTGGTCCTGCCAACAGGGCAGATTCTTCTGGGGATACTTTTAGCTACAATCCCAACTTGGGTTTTTTTCCCTTCATTTTCCCTAAGAGAAACTACACATTTGGTATAGATGATCATGTTCACCCTTTCACTGATCCGAAAGATTTTCAAAGCAGCTCCCAAGACAAGGTGGAAAAAGGCAACCAGATGTCCTCCAGATGTATGGATTTCAATGTTGGAGACACCAAGTCCAATGGCAAAAGACTGTGAGAGTTATAATCCAAAACATCTGGAGGGCCTCCTCCTCCTCCTCAGACGCCTGAGCTAAAATCAACTGAAATGTATGTTATCCTTTTTAGTGTTCATTAATTTTTTATTCTCCCTTTTCACCAACAATTAACACTTGAGCTAGCAATCAGAAAATGGAAATAACAGCAGTAACAATAAAAATGAAGTAATATAAGAAAAAAGAATGGGGAAAGTCATTTAGCCCCTCTTGTGAAGTAGATGGACAGTTATAAAAAATTCAATAAACGATAATAAAATAAAATAATAAAAATAATAAAAAGTAAAGTAAAACAAAAAATATAAAAGAAAACAAAATAAGAAAAGAAAAAATAAAATAAAGCAAAATATAAATAAAAAATAAAACAAAACAAAAAATAAAAACAATAAAACAATAAAGTAAAATACAACACAACACAACACAATACAATAAGCCTTTTTAAGTGGCCATGCAAGACCCAGATTAGTCCAGCCTAAAGTGGCTTGGACAGTTCACAGTTGTGGAAACTAGCTATGCCCTTAGCACAGGGGTCGGCAACCTTAAACACTCAAAGACCCACAAAGGTCCTAACCGGAAGCCCCCCATTCAATTCTGGAGCTGACCGGAAGTTAGGGTTCACCCACCATAGAGTCTCCTCCTAGCATGGCGTCCTTTTTCCTCTACCTGTCCTAACCGAAAGTCTTATCAATTGTGGAGCCGACCAGCTCCAGCGACAGGGAGCCACAGCAGAGGGATGAAAGAGCCACATGCGGCTAGAGAGCCACAGGTTGCTGACCCCTGCCTTAGCATGTTGGGATCACTAGAACAGGGTTTCCAAAACCTGGGAACTTTCTTTCTTTCTTTCTTTCTTTCTTTCTTTCTTTCTTTCTTTCTTTCTTTCTTTCTTTCTTTTTCTTTCTTTCTTTCTTTCTTTCTTTCTTTCTTTCTTTCATTTAATTTGTATACTGCCCTTCTCCCAGAAGGGACTCAGCTTCTTTCTTTCTTTCTCTCTCTCTCTCTCTCTCTCTCTCTCTCTCATTTCTTTCTTTCTTTCTTACTCTTTCTTCTTCTCTCTTTCTCTCTTTCATTTAATTTGTATGCCCTTCTCCCAGAAGGGACTCAGGGCGGTGAACAGCCAAAATTAAAAATACATACAATACAAAAGTTAAGATAATTAAAAAGAATTAAATCATTGGCTTCCCAATTTAAAACCCCCAAGTCTATAAAATTTAAAATCCCAATTAAGAGCCATTTAGGCTAGGCCGGCTTGGTGGAATAAATAAGTCTTCAGGGTCTTACGGAAGGTCCGGAGGTTCGGGATCAGCCGTATTCCAGGAGGTAGTTCATTCCACAGGGCGGGTGCCCCCACAGAGAAGGCTCTCCTCCTGGGGGCCGCCAGCCGACATTGCCTGACTGACGGCACCCTGAGGGGGCCCTCTCTGTGAGGGCGTATTGGCCGGTGGGAGGTTATTGGTAGCAGCAGGCAGTCTCGCAAGTATCCTGGCCCTAAGCCATGGACTTTAGGACTTGTGGACTTCAACTCCCAGAATTCCCCAGCCAGCGTGGCTGGCTGAAGAATTCTGGGAATTGAAGTCCACAAGTCTTATAAGAGTTGCCAATTTTGGAGGCCCCTGCACTAGACCCATCACCTACAGCCCTAACGTTAACCTTCTTTTTAATAACAAACTGGAATAATATTTTCATTTGAATTTAGCTCTGATGACAACGTGACCCTGAGCAAATAATTAAGGAAACCCTCTTCCCACGCGCCCATTGGGCTCTGCGGTAAGTGTACAAAATCTCTTTGCACCTTTGAGGGCCAGGGCAACTGTTCAAAAGAGCATTCGCTGTTCGTTCTACCAGAAGATCCATAATGCTCAGCCACCCCACTCTTGCTCTTACCTTCGCTGCCGTCTCGGATTTTCTCTGCTCTTTTCCGTTCTTCGTTTCCCTCTGTTCAAGAAGAGAAGGATGTACAGATGCATCACGGGCCGAAGGGAAAAAAACAGGATCAGCTGTGATTGGCTGTTTCCTTCTCCCAGGCCTTCCTTGGGCAGTTTGACCCAACTCTCTTGCCAGTGGGGCAGTGTCCTCTCGCCATTCCAAGCTACGGCCAGAACCATCTTTTACCTAACTAGCTCTGAACTGAATGTACTTAAGATGTGGGAAGACAGAAATCATCATCATCATCTTTTAACGTCCCCATAATCCCTTGCGGGGCGGAGTCTGGGCAACTGAATGGAGCTAGCAAGTGTTTTAATGGCCGAATGCTCTTCCTGTTGCCAATGTGGAGTTTTGTTCAGCAGGTAGAGTTTCATTGTGCCCAGAGAGAGAAATATCTGCCTCAACCTAGGATCGAACTCACAGCCTCCTGATTGTGAGGCGAGAGCTCCACCTCTGCTCCTCTCTGCCTGTTCTCTCTGCATGATCACTGATTGATCATTGCTACTTGTTGTTTTTCTACTGTTTTACTGATTGTTTTACTGCTTTACTTGTTTCTGTTTGCAACTCCAAAAAGAACTGTTTTATTGCATATGACTACAACAACTGGTAAGAAGACTTTGTTCTTGGAATATCCCTGGATTGACAATTTAACTATCTTTATCTGTATATGACCTGGATTGTTTGCTTTACTTTTTCCTAAAAATAAAAGAATATCACAACTCAGTGTGTCTGTATTGACAGTGCTTATTCACAATCACTCTCAGCAGTTTCTCATCTGCACAACTTTGCTACTCAAGGGTTACTTTGTGCATATTCCTCATCAGTTACTGTTACCTTGACACACAGGGCAGCACTGATTACTGTGATGGACTGTCTGGGAGCAGTTGAGTGGCTGGCACAACACCGGATCACAGATCACCGTTCGCTTCTGAGGAACCGGAAGGAGAGAGAGAGAAAAAAGGATAAGAGAAGGAAGATGATTAGAGCAGGCAAAGGAAGGTGCAGAATTTTATTCTCGCTTGGCCTGAGTTTGCTTGCAAAAATGACAGAAGAACAAAGTTGGAAAGGACTTTGGAGGTCTTCTAGTCCAACCTTTTGCTCAAGCAGGAAACCCTACTAAAAAAAAAAACCCAGTCAGGTCACTTTTTTCAATGTCGTCATAACTACGAACGGTCATTAAATCTGTTGTAAGTGGAGGACTCCCTTTATGGTCAGAATATTGGACGTCTTGTGGTGTTCCATTTGGGAGAATGCATAGGTTCTCGCCCAACAAAGAAAACCTGGCTTATTGTGGAAAAATACAAAACAGCAATAACAAAATAAAGCCTGGATAGCTCAACAGACAGAAGCACTGTGATTTAACACCAGCTGTCTGCAATTAAAATAAGTTCGAATCTTGCCAGGCTCAAGGTTGACTCAGCCTTCCATCCTTTCAAAGGTAGGTAAAATGAGGACCCAGTTTGTGGGGGCAATAAGCTGACTTTGTATAAATATACAAAAGTATGAAGGCTATTGCTTAACGTACTGTAAGCCGCCCTGAGTCTCCGGAGAAGGGCGGCATATAAATCAAATTAAAAAAAAAACCAGACTCCTATATCAGCATAGATGGGAACCCAAACATAAAACTTTCCTTCTAATTCAGAGGAGCCAAACTCAATTTCATTGCGGGCTGCCTCAGAGCTGTCAGGCTAGCCTCCTTTCAAGACTCAAGAAAGAAAAACCCCGACTCCATTTTCATAGAGAAAGGTACTTTTACTGAGTAAGAACTGAATGCAGCCAAAGAAAAGCAAGGTCTGAAGCAAAGGCGCGAAAATTACATATAGAAAGCATCCTCCCCAACTGTTCAGCGTAAATGTCAGCATCTCAGAATTGACATAGAAAAGGGAGGAGAAGCCTGAACTTTTGCCTACTAAATCCCTTTGAAGATTCTGTCTCCTCGGAGATGGGAGAGGGGGAGAGACATTCCTGTGACCTGACGAAGAAGGAATCAGGAGAGTGACTTGGAAGATAGCCAATGAGAAGCAGAGAATTGGGGATCGGAAAGGGAGGGATTGGGGGACAAAGGTCAGTACTGACCGCGAAAAGAGTCAGGATCAGATTGCTGTGCTCGAATAAAGAGAAAATTTCCTTAAAGATCGGCAGTTTGGAAGTTCATTTATTTTGAGATAGCATCGAAACCTGACAGTAAATCATCCAATCCACAATTTCCCCAGGAGTCAGGTGGGTGCAAACGTCTGGTAGTGTCATCCTCCTGCTATGCCACGACCGTTGACCTTGAGTTGTTATCAGCTTCAAAGAAAATGCTGAAGCAAAGTTTTTTCTCCTCTTCTCCTCCAGCTCACTTCCCCCCTCCCAAGAATTCCAATAGCTCCCCCCTCCCCCGTTACATGGCAGCCGAGCAAGCAAGTAATGAAAGAGCGGAGGCTGACAAGAGCTGTGGTTGACCGTGGAGGTGGGGCAGGCGGGCAGGCGGGCATGGCCAACTGGGTGGGTGTGGCCAATTGGATGGACATGGCCAGCTTGATGCCACTCACTGAACGAGGCCAACTGGATGGGCGTGGCCAGCTTAACGCCACTCCCCAAACTGCTGGCATGTTTCCTCTTTGCATTGGGTAGACCAGGCCGAAGCCACGCAGGTAGGCCCCTTACATTTTCCACGACAGCCACCAGTAGTGGGTTTCAACTTCGGTCCCTACCAGTTTGCTTGCGGGCGCTCGTACACTCATGAGTGTGCGCAATGCTTCTGTGCATGCGCAGAAGCTTTTGCGCATGCACAGAGATGTCCGGCAGGTGGGCAGAGCCTCCTGTGATAGCTGCTACCGGTTCGCCCGATCCGGAGCGAACCGGTAGAAACCAACCACTGGTGGCCACGCGGGCCAGATCTGACCACATTGAGGGCCGGATCCAGGCCTTGCGTTTGACACCCCTGTTCTAATTGGATGCTTCAATTCTTCCAGAAAACAACAATTACCGTATTTTTCGGAGTATAAGACGCACCTTTCCCCCTAGCCCCGCCCACCCACTGGCCCCCACCCTTTGGCCTCTGCCTCCCAGCAGTTTACCTCCTTACAGCAAGCAGCAAGAACAAACAGCCCATTTCAGCTTCAGCACAGCCTAATTAGCACAAGTTGATTGGATCGGCCTCCCGACTCTCAGCTGTTTTGCTCTCAGCTGTTTTGCGCGGGCCTCTGCTGCTTGCTGCAAGGAGGCAAATTGCTGGGGGCAGATTTTTTTTTTCTTGCGCTAATCAAGCTACGCTGAAAATGAAAATGAAAGTAAAGCATTTGCTTTACTATTTGCTGTTTGCTGCAATGAGGCAAAATTGCTGGGAGGGAGAGGGAGAGGCAGATTTCTTTTTCTTGTTTTCCTCACCAAAAAAGGTAAGCGCGTCTTATAGTCCGGAGCGTCTCATACTCCGAAAAATATGGTACTTTTTCCATTGTCTTCCCACCTACCTGACAGATGCATATAGAACATTTCTTGTCATAGTCGGGAGCCCAGCGGGAGCCATGGGGCCGGTGTTGACCTTCAAAAAAGCAGGCGTTGAGGTCTTTCTTCAACTCTTTGGGGTCCCTGGGCCTTGCTTCTCCAACAGGTTTCTCCTCTAGGTTGTCAGAGGCCAGCCGGAGGCGCCCTGCCTTGCATTGGTTGGGAATGTGAACCTGGAAGGACAGTGGCAATTGAGCAAATGAGCCGCTGGACAGATTAAGAGTAGGGCCAGCTAGGAGCCGGAAAAAAGAGAAATCAAGCTTGCCTTAATTAATCCAATTGATGAGACTTGCCATCCAATCAGGGGTGGGGTTCAAAAATTTTAGCAACCGTTTCTCTGCTGGGTGTGGCCATGGTGGGTGTGGCCTACTCGGCCTCGTGCACCACGGGGGGGAGGGGGGCTTTTCGCCCTCCCCAGGCTCCGGAGGCTTTCTTCAAGCCACCAGGAGAGTGAAAACGGCCTCCCCAGGGCTCCAGAGGCCCTCCAGAGGCCGGAAACAGCCCTGTTTCCAGACTTCCAGAATTTCTGGTAGGCCCGTTTTTCGCCCTCCCAGAGCCTCCGCACGGGCCCTGCACTTACCTGGCATCCAAAACAGGCTGCGTGGAGACTTCTGGAAGGGGAGGGGAGGGGAGGGGTGGGCCGGGTCAGCCAGTCTTTGCAACTACTGATTCGACCAACCAGATTAAAATTAACATCCAATTCGCCCGAACCGGCTGAATCCCACACCTGCATCCAATCTACCTGAAAGGCACCGGCTCTAAAAGCAGTGTTTTTCAAATGTGGCAATGTTAAGATGAGTGGACTTCAACTCCCAGAATTCCCCAGCCAGGAGAAATCTTAAAAGTTGCCAAAGTTGAGAAACACTGATTTAAATCAATAGCAGAGATACTCCGTGCCTACATGATAAGTCACCTACTCAAGTCGAACAGGAAGGCAAGAGGCCTGCGGAAGAGATGGACTGAAATGGGAAGAACTGTGTTAAATTCATCCTGTCCTGTTCCAATACTGGGAGCCAATTTGGTGCAGGGGTTCAGGTGTGGATTCAAGACGGACGATGGACTGTCTGCTACAAGAAAACAAGGTTATGGCATACACTGACTAGGTGGCTCAGCCTGACTAGGTGGCTCAGTGGCTAAGGCACTGAGGTTGTTGATCAGAAAGGAGGGACTCTGTTTGGGTAGCAGGTGAGGAGGAGGAAGAGGAGGAGGAGAAAGGGAAGGAGAAAGAGAAGGAGGAGGAGGAGAAAGAGAAGGAGAAGGAGGAGAAAGAGAAGGAGGAGGAGGAGAAAGAGAAGGAGGAGGGGAAGGAGAAAGAGAAGGAAAATGAGAAAGGAGGAAGAGGAGGAGGAGAAAGAAGGAAAATGACAAAGAGAAGGAGGAAAAGGAGGAGGAGGAGGAGAAAGAGGAAGAAGAGAAAGAGATGGAGGAGAAAGAGAAGGAGGAGGAGGAGGAGGAGAAAGAGATGGAGGAGGAGAAAGGGAGGAGGAGGAGGAGGAGGAGAAAGAGATGGAGGAGGAGAAAGAGAAGGAGGAGGAGGAAAAGAGAAAGAGATGGAGGAGGAGAGAGAGAAGGAGAAGGAGGAGGAGGAAAAGGAGAAAGAGATGGAGGAGGAGAAAGAGGAGGAGGAGGAGGAGAAAGAGATGGAGGAGAAGGAGGAGAGAGAAGAGGAGGAGGGAAAGAGATGGAGGAGGAGAAAGAGATGGAGGGAGAGGAGGAGGAGAAAGAGGAGGAGGGAGGAGGAGGAGGAAGAACAAAGAATGCTTATGGATTCTGCACGTGTTAAGTTTATAACAATTCTGAGTGGTTAGAAAGCTGATAAAAGTAACGAAGAGTTAGGCATCTTGCAGACCTCAGCTAGAAGTTAGGAGTAGAGACGGCCTGGGAATGAAATGGAATGTGTATTAGATAACTCCTGGAGCATTCATTAGCCAAGGCTTAGGAATAGGGATGGTTAGAGACCAATTGAATAATTGTTAGATCATAACTAAAATGCTTATTAGGTAGTATTTGTTATATATCCCGCCTGATCCTCCCTTCTGCTTTAGGGAAAATGTATAAAGCTTTCTTATTTCTATTGGCATTTTGGCCGGAACCCCAGCTGTCTGCAATTACTGTAAGTTCGAATCTCACCAGGCTCAAGGTCGACTCAGCCTTCCATCCTTTCTAAGGTGGGTAAAATGAGGACCAGTTTGTGGGGGCAATAAGCTGACTTTGTATAAATATACAAAAAGGATGAAGGCTATTGCTTAACGCATTGTAAGCCGCCCTGAGTCTCCGGAGAAGGGCGGCATATAAATCAAATTTTTTAAAAAAGGAAACAAAACCCGCATCTCGCGTCTGGTGTCCTTCATTGGTCTCAGTATTAGGCTCAGACCTGAAATGGGGACGACACAGTAAGTTGTAAGTTGAGGACTATCTGTATACCCCGGGTCAGTGAAATGTCTTTCCGTTGAACTCTTGCACCTGCAAAAGCTAAAAACCTGGATTTGAGCTTCTAGTTTTTCTCCTTTTCAATTCAAACTCCTTCACGTATTTGTGGTGGGGAAGATAATGTTGGAAAAGCGGTTGTGAAAGTCACCCGCTTTGAGCTCCTGGAGGACAGACAGGGGATATAATCCAGCAAACAGATTAATAAATCATTTTCCTGCAGAATTGCCAGCGTGGAGAGGCTTAGTTCCTTTCCACCTTCGCCGCTCAGCAAACCGCTGAAGGGGAAAACACGTCCTGGCACTGTGATCGGATGCCAAGAGGATTCTGCCACCTTCCAGCCAAACATGGTTTCTGGGAAGCCGCTGGCAAGGTTGGCCTCAAGCCTAGATAAGATGCGTGGCAGACAAAAATCTGCCTTTGCAAACATCCCAGCCACGGAGGGATTCTGTTGGGTAGCAGGTGAGGAGGAGGAGGAGAAAGAGAAAGAGGAGGAGGAGGAGGAGAAAGAGAAGGAGGAGGAGGAGAAGAGGAGGAGGAAGAACAAAGAATGCTTATGGATTCTGCACGTGTTAAGTTTATAACAATTCTGAGTGGTTAGAAAGCTGATAAAAGTAACGAAGAGTTAGGCATCTTGCAGACCTCAGCTAGAAGTTAGGAGTAGAGACGGCCTGGAAGAAATGGAATGTGTATTAGATAACTCCTGGAGCATTCATTAGCCAAGGCTTAGGAATAGGGATGGTTAGAGACCAATTGAATAATTGTTAGATCATAACTAAAATGCTTATTAGGTAGTATTTGTTATATATCCCGCCTGATCCTCCCTTCTGCTTTAGGGAAAATGTATAAAGCTTTCTTATTTCTATTGGCATTTTGGCCGGAACCCCAGCTGTCTGCAATTACTGTAAGTTCGAATCTCACCAGGCTCAAGGTCGACTCAGCCTTCCATCCTTTCTAAGGTGGGTAAAATGAGGACCCAGTTTGTGGGGGCAATAAGCTGACTTTGTATAAAATATACAAAAGGATGAAGGCTATTGCTTAACGCATTGTAAGCCGCCCTGAGTCTCCGGAGAAGGGCGGCATATAAATCAAATTTTTTAAAAAAGGAAACAAAACCCGCATCTCGCGTCTGGTGTCCTTCATTGGTCTCAGTATTAGGCTCAGACCTGAACTGGGGACGACACAGTAAGTTGTAAGTTGAGGACTATCTGTATACCCCGGGTCAGTGAAATGTCTTTCCGTTGAACTCTTGCACCTGCAAAAGCTAAAAACCTGGATTTGAGCTTCTAGTTTTTCTCCTTTTCAATTCAAACTCCTTCACGTATTTGTGGTGGGGAAGATAATGTTGGAAAAGCGGTTGTGAAAGTCACCCGCTTTGAGCTCCTGGAGGACAGACAGGGGATATAATCCAGCAAACAGATTAATAAATCATTTTCCTGCAGAATTGCCAGCGTGGAGAGGCTTAGTTCCTTTCCACCTTCGCCGCTCAGCAACCGCTGAAGGGAAAACACGTCCTGGCACTGTGATCGGATGCCAAGAGGATTCTGCCACCTTCCAGCCAAACATGGTTTCTGGGAAGCCGCTGGCAAGGTTGGCCTCAAGCCTAGATAAGATGCGTGGCAGACAAAAATCTGCCTTTGCAAACATCCCAGCCACGGAGGGATTCTGTCTGGGTAGCAGGTGAGGAGGAGGAGGAGAAAGAGAAAGAGGAGGAGGAGGAGGAGAAAGAGAAGGAGGAGGAGGAGAAGGAGAAAGAGGAGGAGGAGGAGGAGAAAGAGAAGGAGGAGGAGGAGAAAGAGATGGAGGAGGAGGAGGAGGAGAAAGAGAAGGAGGAGGAGGAGGAGGAGAAAGAGAAGGAGGAGGAGGAGAAAGAGAAGGAGAAGGAAAAGGAGAAAGAGATGGAGGAGGAGGAGGAGGAGGAGGAGGAGGAGAAAGAGGAGAAGGAAAAGGAGAAAGAGATGGAGGAGGAAGAGAAGGAGGAGAAGGAGAAAGAGAAGGCGCAGGAGGAGAAGGAGAAAGAGAAGGAGGAGAAGGAGAAGGAAAAGGAGAAAGAGAAGGAGGAGGAGGAGGAGAAGGAGAAGGAAAAGGAAAAGGAGAAAGAGATGGAGGAGGAGGAGGAGAAGGAGAAAGAGAAGGAGGAGGAGGAGAAAGAGAAAGAGAAGGAGGATGAGGAGGAGAAGGAAAAGGAAAAGGAAAACGAGAAGGAGAAAGAGGAGGAGGAGGAGAAAGAGGAGGAGGAGAAAGAGAAGGAAAACGAGAAAGATGGAGGAGAAGAAGGAAAAGGAGGAGGAGGAGAAAGATGGAGGAGGAGGAGAAAGAGAAGGAGGAGGAGGAGAAGGAGGAAGAGGAGAAGGAAAATGAGAAAGAGAAGGAGGAGGAGGAAGAGAAAGAAGGAGGAGAAAGGAGGAAGAGGAGAAGGAGAAGGAGAAGAAAGAGCTTGCTGCAGCTAAAAAATGCTTTGCCTTTTGGTCAAATTTCATGACAATGTTTTCTGCCTCACATCTTCCCCACTGGATTCACATTAAGTTCTTGATCATCAGTTTAGCATAGATGCCCTCTTCCATCAAGGACCCTGGTGGTCAAGGAGAGGCAGGAGAGAGTAAACTAGGCATAGCTACATGTGGTTAGCCCTCCCTTGTAGCCAGTACTAGGAATAGTCTACTCCAACTAGTAGTTCTATGTCAAGAAGGAATGCCTGGATTCTCAGAATCTCCATGTCAAAGCCAGCAGCTTAAGTGGGAGCAGAGTTACCTTCAGAGTAACATGCCTGCAACAATATTCCCCAAAATGGGAACAGAAACCCCGGTGGCGCAGCGGTTAGAATGCAGTATTGTAGGCTAACTAACTGCTCACTGCCAGGAGTTCAATCCTGACCGGCTCAAGGTTGACTCAGCCTTCCATCCTTCCGAGGTGGGTAAAACAAGGACTCAGATTATTGAGGGCAAATATGCTGACTCTGTAAACCGCTTAGAGAGGGCTGCAAAGCACTATGAAGCAGTAGTGAAATCCAATTTCTTTTACTACCGGTTCTGTGGGCATGGCTTGGTGGGCGTGGTGTGGCTTGGTGGGCGTGGCTTGGTGGGCATGGCAGGGGAAGGATACTGCAAAATCCCCATTCCCTCCCCACTCCTGGGGGAAGGATATTGCAAAATCTCCATTCCCACCCCACCCCAGGGGAAGGATATTGCAAAATCTCCATTCCCACCCCACTCTGTGGCCAGCCAGAGGTGGCACTTGCCGGTTCTCCGAACTACTCAAAATGTCCGCTACCGGTTCTCCGGAACCTGTCAGAACCTGCTGGATTTCACCCCTGCTATGAAGTCTCAATGCTAATGCTATTGCTAATTTCATTTCACGGAAAGTGAACACCAAATTTTGCTGGCCATGTGTACCCAGCCAGGCTTGTTTTTCCTGGCCATAGCCTGAAAAATGGCTTGGTGTCATTTTTTTTTTCCTGATGCTGATGAGGAATGACTGCCCGTTTCACTCCAAGAATTGCCGTTTCTGGGTGGTTTTACATCTAAATATTAATCAGGCTCATGCCAGTTTAGCTTCCAAAGCCAGACAGGGTCACCCAAATGCTGCCATTGCATTTTCAGAGAATTAAAATGGTATACAATTAATATTACGAGTCTCTAGTGTTTCTCAACCTTAGCCCTGTTAAGATATGTGGACTTCAACTCCCAGAGTTAGCTGGCTGGGGAATTCTGGGAGATGAAGTCCTCACATACTGAAACACTGATCTTATGCAAGGGTCTCCAACTTTGGCAACTTTAAGCCTGGTTGACTTCAACTCCCAGAAGTTGCCAAGGCTGGAAACCCCTGGTCTAACGCATATATTCACTGCCACTATGCAACAGACAAATAGCTTTGCTGACTGGGGAATTCTGGGAGTTGAAGTCCATACCTCTTAAAGGGGACAAGGTTGAGAAACAGCACTCTGGTTATTTTTCCTCTTCTAGTATGTAAGCCATCAGCTAACACCTATTTCTGAACTTTATACAAACAATTTATTTCGAGCACGTGAGGGATGGAAGCAATTTTCTTTGAAAAAAACAAGATACAAACCCAGGGGTGGGCTTCAAAAAATTTAGCAAGGGCTTCTCTGCCCAGTTGCTGGGTGGGCCTGGGCCTGGTGGGCATGGCCTAGTCAGCCCCCTGCACCACAAGGGGGAGGGTTTGTCCTCCCCGGGCTCTGGAGGCTTTCCTTGAGCCTCCGGGAAGGCGAAAAAGGCCTCCCCAGGCTCCAGAGGCCCTCTGGAGGCCAGAAACGGGCCCAAACTTCCAGTAGGCCTGTTTTTCGCCCTCCCTGAGCATCCGTGCATGCCCTGCACTTACCTGCATCCAGAACGGGCCACGGCCGGGCGGGGTGGGTGGGGCCAGCCAGGAGTGGGATTTGGGAGTTCTCCGAACTGCACAGAATCTTAGCTAGAGATTCTCCCGAACCCCTGCGAACCCCCAGCAGCCCACCCCTGCACAAACCGCATTATCGATTATGACAATTTCTCTTATTTTTCTAGCTAAGAAAGGACAGTCTGCCCCGCTCCACCTGCCCCCCTCTCCCCACTCCGGCAAACTTTCTATGCCATTCAGTGTTATGCAAACATCCATCTTCATAAACGCAGCCATTTCTCATTATTTTATTTCCATGCCAAGAAAAACTTCACTGGCGGAATTTCCATCTGTCTCTAGGGAGCAAGCGAATGCTTCTCCTTGCAGTGATTAAGGAATGCAAACAATGTAGAGTTTTAAGATTTTGGCACAGGGCTTTCCTTGGCAACTTGCCACGCTGCTAAATGTTCCCACTAGCTGAGAAAAAGAGAGTAATTTTCGAAATACTCTCTCTGTGACTTCAATTCCTGTCCATTTAGAGGGCCTTTTCAACCTGATTTTTCAAACGGTGCCCATCACCTCCTTGAAAGGAAGATGTTTGTGAATCTATCCTGCTACAGATTGTCCAAAAGCTCAGCTCTACCTTCTGGTGTTTGTTTGTTTTTTTTAAATTGCATTCTAGCTTCAACATTTACTTTACTTTACTTTTACTTTACTTTTATTTGATTTGTATACCGCCCTACTCCCGAAGGACTCAGGGCGGTGAATAGCCAACAATAAAATACATATATACAAAATTTAAAAAGCAGAAATAAAATCGAATTAAATAGTTTGGCCCAGACAAATTAAAACCCCAATCAATTTAAAACAAATTTAAACTTTGAGTATTATTAAAAATATTAAAATTACTAAAATTGTTTAAAATTGTTTCTGATTTAGATCAGAAAAGTCCAAAAAAAGGAAATGCAATCCTTGGTTGCATTAATAGAGGGATAGAATCAAGATCACATGAACAGACTTGAGCCCTGGGCCCTATCCTTCAACAGTAACAGAGTTGGAAGGGGACCTTGGAGGTCATCTAGTCCAACCCCATGCTCACGCATAGTAGGGATTCAAACCGCTGAACTGCCGACCTTTCTGATCGACAAGCTCAGCGTCAATGTAGAGAAAAGGTAGGGTTTTACACTTAGGTAAGAAAAACCCAATGTACAGGAAGAGATGAGATGAAACCTGGCTGAATAACAGTAACTGCGAGAGGGATCTTGGGAGTCCTAGTGGACAATCACTTAAATATGAGATGTAAGGTCTTGCCTCTCCAATCTTTTTTTTTTTTTGCTTTAATTTATATGCCGCCCTTCTCCAGAGACTTAGGGCAGCTTACAATGCGTTAAGCAATAGCCTTCATCCATTTGTATATTTATACTAAGTCAGCTTATTGCCCCCACAATCTGGGCCCTCATTTCACCTACCTTTGAAAGGATGGAAGGCTGAGTCAACCTTGAGCCTGGTGAGATTTGAACTTGCAGTAATTGCAAGCAGCAGATGTTCATCTGTCAATAACAGTGCTTTAGTCCACTGTACTACAGGCTCTTCCCAAGAAATCTTCCCAAGAAAGCAGGACTCTTGAAACTGCAGTGGTTCCAAAAGGAGCTTTTATTGGAAGGTTATTGTGATAACCGGGAGCATTTCACCCCTGAGCTAGAGGCTAAAACATATGAGGAACATTTGCAAGAACTGGGTATGTAATGATGGAAGGATGAGGGATGATATGATAGCGGTCTTCCAATATTTCAGGAGGGGGTTGTCACAAAGAAGAGGGAATCAACCTATTCTCTAGAGCAGGAGTCTCCAACCTTGGCAACTTTAAGACTTGTGGACTTCAACTCCCAGAAGTCCTCAGCCATCCCCAGCTACAAGGTCCTATAAGGTCCCTTCCAACTCAGTTAATCTGCAAATGGTTTGGAAACCAATAGTCTTTCGGAGCTAAAAAAGCAGACCTACCTTCCCCCGGATCTCTCCTTGTGGGTTCGCTTTGGTGCTGACTTGCAGGAAAGCTGTGCCTTGAGCTAGGTGCCGAAGCAGCTCTGCGTCCAAGTCCTTCACCACTCCTTGGGCCTAAGAGAGACAGACAAGTACCTCAATAGAGTTCCAGGACAGCATGCAGGGAATTCTCAATTTACAACCATTTGTTTAGTGTCTATGGAGATTCTCAGTCATCCAGGTCATGGTTGTCCCAAATATGTTTTTTTTTTTTTCAAGAGGCAGCTGGACTTTCTGGTTTTTCTTTGAAGACCTTTTGGTTCTCATCCAAGAAGCTTCCTTCAGCTCTGGCCAGATGATGGGGAATGGAAGGATTTATATTCCTTGCAGACAGCTGGTCATTTGCATCCTTTTAGAGAGTCGTTGAGGCCACTTAAGAGGTTTATCTGCGTCCTCAGGGTCACCTGAGTAGTGCAAATGGGCATGGAGCCTTCTTGGAACTGCTGAAAGGACCCTGTTGTAGACTGGAGATAGATGATGTTGTATGCCTTCCCTTCTGTTGAGAGAGGGCCAGGGGTGAAATGCTCCCGGTTCGGACCGGATCATTCAATCCGGTAGCGATGGCGGCAGGTGGTTCGGACAACCGGTAGCAAACATCCCTGCCATCCTCCCCCCATGCCCAGCTGAGCCGCACGATCATCAGAGGCTATTTTTTTACTTTTAAAAAGCATTTTTTCTACAACCTCCAAAGAGGTTGTAGAAAAAATGCTTTTAAAAGCCTCTGACAATCTCAGCCGAGTTGCCTGATCGTCAGAGGCTTCTAAAAGCATTTTTTTCTGCAACCTCTTCGGCTGAAGAAGTTGTAGAAAAAATGCTTTTAAAAATAATAATAAAAAAAGTTGGCCATGCCCACCCAGTCACATTATCCCCCCCACACACACACCCAGCCACACCCACAGAACTGGTAGTAACAAATTTTAGATTTCACCCCTGGAGAGGGCTATTCAATTTCGAAATAGATGGCGTCCTTTTGACTCCGCTTTCAAAGCAGCGGTCCTCTCTGTCCAAAATGTGGACTTTGTTGCCTTCAAAAGAGTGGCCTTTTGTCTTTTAAAAGCAGATGGACGGCTGAATCTACTCCTGATGGGTTTGTCCTCCTATGCATTTGTTTAGTGACTGTTCAAAGTTAAAATGGCCCTGGAAAAAGTGACTTTTGATGGTTTTTTACACTTAGGACCGTGGCAGCATCGCCACAGTTTTGCGATCAAAATCCAGATGCTTGGCAACTGCCTCCCATTTATGACGGCTGCCGTGTCCCCAAGGTCACATGCTCGCCTTTTGCAACCCTCTGACAAAGCAAAGTCAATGGCGAACCCAGATTCCCTTAACAACCGGGTTACTAACATAACAACTGCATTTATTCACCAAACAACGGTGGCAAGAAAAGGGAAATCAAAAACCGTCTCACTTAGCGATGGAAATGTTGGGATCAATTGTACTACGTGCCTCTCCAAACCTAGCGCAGTTCACCAAGCCCAGGTAGTCCTCGACTTACAACGGTTACAATGGCACTGAAAAAAAGGGACTCACCGCCAGTTTTCACACTTAACGACCTTTGCAACATCCCCCCATATGTGATCAAAATTCAGATGCTTGGCCAGTGGGTCATACTTATGACCGTTGCTGTGTCCCAAGGTCATGTGATCCCTTTTTGCAACCCCTTGACGAGCAAATTCACTGGGGAAGCCAGATTCACTTAACAACGGTGTTACTAACTCAACAGCTGCAGTGATTCACTTAACAGCGGCGGTGATTAGGGTGCAGTATTGCAGGCCAATTCTGCTAATTCTGCTCTGACTGACTCACCAGGCTGAAGATTGACTCAGCCTTCCATCCTTCCCAGGTCGGTAAAATGAGGACCCAGATTGTTGGGGGCAAATATGCTGACTCTGTAAAACCGCTTAGAGAGGGCTGTAAAAGCACTGTGAAGCGGTATATAAGTCTAAGTGCTATTGCTAACAACTGTGGCAAGAAAGGTCATACAACAGGGCGAAACTCACTTAAATAATGTCTCAATTAATGACAGAAATTTGGGGGCCAATTGTGGTCATAAGTCGAGGACTACCTGCATGAACGGTGACTCTTTCATATCCAGTTATTGCAGCTATGTGCTTGCAATTGTTCGCTGTGTGTGCTTGTGTGTGGGCGCAGCCCATAATAACAGAGAACATTATGCATCTAATTATCTGCCTCTCAGTTTAATGGTCTGCCAGCTTAATTTTTTTCAGACAGCTCCTTCTTGGTAGGCAGCCCAAGGAAAGAATGGGTAATGCCAGAATGGAATTTGTGATCAATTTTCCTGAGCTTGTTCCATTTTTCTGCGTTTGGAAATGAAGCTCGCTTTGTCTTCTGCCAGAGGTTCACCGGACACCCACTGTGGGAATTGCCTTATGGGAATGGCTTTGCATTTTACTGCCCTGAGTGGTAACATCACACCTCACACAACAGGGAGGATCCCACAGCTAGCATAGACTCAGAAGGAATTATTCCTATTATTCATGTTCTCTCAACCCAGCCCACCTCACAGGGTTGTTGCTATGGGGGAAATAGGAAGAGGAAGGAGTATTATTCGGCTGTTTGCTGCCTTCAAGTTATTTATAATAATGATAGAGGTGGGAGATAGATGGATGAATGGATGGATGGATGGATGGATGGACGGACCGACAGAGAGACAGACATAGAGATAGATAGATGAATAGATAGATAGATAGATAGATAGATAGATAGATAGATAGATAGATAGATAGATAGATGATAAATGATAGATAGATAGATAGATAGATAGATAAGACAGATATACAGACAGACAGACAGACAGACAGACAGCAGGACAATGCATTTCTGGCCAAAAGGCTGCCCCGTAACCAGTGGTGGGATTCAAATAATTTAACAACCAGTTCTCTGCACTAATGACCAGCTGGGTAGGCGTGGCTCAGTGGTCATGTGACTGCATGGGCGTGGCCAACTAAATGTCACTCATGTCGATGGGCGCTTCGCCTTAGTTGTTACAATGTAACAAGGGTTAACCAGAGAGGCAGTTTCTGTAAGCAGAGCAATAAAGATTAGGCTAGAAACACCACCAGAACGTTTCCTTCCTGCCTTCCTTACAGGATTAGCCCTGTAAAGTGGGGGAAAAAAACAAAATAAGATTTCTTCCAACAACCGGTTCTCTGGACTGCTTAGAAAGTTAACAACCGGTTCTCCCGAATAGGTGCGAACTGGCTGAATCCCACCACTGCCCGTAACCCCTTACCTCTGTGCCATAGAAACTTCTCAGCAGCCTCCTGTGCTCGGGGAGGCTGGTCTCGTGAATCTCTCCCAGTTCGGCAAAACCGTGCAAGTGAGCGCTGACGGTGCCATCGTCTGCCCTGCCCAGGCCAGCCACCACAATTTCATAGTGCAGATGGCAGTGACCGTCCAAAGACACCCAGGAGTGGCCAGCAGAGCCCGTGTGCACCGCAGGGGATACAAACTGGCCGGCCAGAGGGATAGGAAGTTCTACAGGACGAAAGACACAAGTTCATTGAGTGATGGTTCCCAAGTTATAACGGCATTGTGGAAAAAAGGGACTTGTGACCATTTTTCACTTATGACCGTTGCAGCATCCCCATGATCACATGATCAAAATTTGAATGCTTGGCAACCGACTCATATTTATGACGGTGGCAGCCTCCTGGGGTCATGGGATCCCCTTTTGTGACCTTCTGACAAACCAAGTCAATGGGGAGCCAGATTCACTTAACAACCGTGTGATTAACTTAATAACTGCAGTGATTCACTTAACAACCGTGGCAGGGAAAGTCATAAAATGGAGCAAAATTTCACTTATCAAATATTTCACTTAGCAACAGGAATGTTGGGCTCAATTGTGGTTGTAAATCAAGGACTAACTGTATTGGGTTCTTTTGATCCTCATATTCAAATACTACAGGTAGTCCTCGGTTTACGACCATTCACTTGGGGAGTATTTGAAGTTACAACAGCACTGACAAAAGTGATTTCTAACTGGTTCTCACACTTACGACTATTGCAATATCCCCGTGGTCTTGTGTGCCAATTTTAGGCACTTGGCAACCGACACATACCGTATTTTTCGGAGTATAAGACGCACCTTTTTCCCCCCTAAAAAGGGGTGAAAATTTAGGTGCGTCTTATACACCGAATGTAGCCCTGCCCACCTACTGGCTCCCACCCTTTGGCCTCTGCCTCGCAGCACTTACCTCCTTGCAAGCAAACAGCAAGAAAAAACAGCTTCTTTCAGCTTCAGCACAGCCTAATTAGCATAAGCTGATTGGATCGGCCTCCCGACTCTCAGCTGATTTGCTCTCAGCTGTTTTGCGCAGGGCTCTGCTGCTTGCTGCAAGGAGGTAAATTGCTGGAGCAGATTTTTTTTCCCCTTGTGCTAATCAAGATATGCTGAAAACGAAAATGAGAGTAAAGCAGGCTGTTTGCTGTTTGCTGCAACGAGGCAAAATTGCTGGGAGGCAGAGGGAGATTTCTTTTTCTTCTTTTCCTCACCAGAAAAGGTAGGTGCGTCTTATACTCCGAAAAATACGGTATTTATTTATGACGGGTCATGTGATCAACATTTGCAGCCTCCCCAGCCAGCTTTGCTTTCCGACAACCAAAGTAAATGGCGGAAGCCAGATTTACTTAACAACAGCTCGATTCACTTAACAACTGCCGTGATTCGCTTAACAACCACGGCAAAAAAGATCATAAAATTGGGCACAACTCACTTAACAACTGATTTGCTTAGCAACAGAAATTCCGGTCCCATTTGTGGCCACAGGTTGAGGACTACCTATACCCAAGTTTCACACTGCAGGATTTTAAAGGGTGGCAATGACTTTCCCCATTTCTACCACAGTGTTTCTCAAATTGGGAGCTTTAAGATGAGTGGAGGTCAACTCCCATGCTGGCTGGGGCATTCTAAAAGAAGACTGATCTACCATCTCGACATTTTCATCTTTTCACCCTGATGCTCATGGCTGGCTGAAGAATTCTGGGAGTTGAAGTCCATAAGGCTTAAAATTGCCAAGTCTTGTGGTCCCCAAATTTGCAGCTTGGAGGCCTGGGGTGGGGAAGGGAACTGGGCTGTGTGATCGGGGGGCTGGCACGCGCATGTGCGTGCACGCAACCCTTGCGCAAGTGTCCAGCCAGGCCGCATGCGCGTGATTGCCTTGCATGAGCAGTGGGCCGACACACACATACGTGATTGCTCTCCTGGCTGTCACTCGTGCAAATTGAACTGTGTGCATATGTGCACACGATCTGCCCAGCCGCTTGTGTGGCCCAATTCTGAATAGACATATAAATGGGTAATAGGTAGTAGTGGGCTACAGCCCAGAGGCTACAGCTCAGAGGTTGGGAACCCCTGTTGTGGACTTCCTAGAATTCCTCAAATCAGTATGGCTGGCTGAGGAATTCTGGGAATTCTGGGAGTTGAAGTCTATAAGTCTTAAAGTTGCCAAGTCTTGTGGACCAGTGGTCCCCATCTTTGTGGCTTAGTGTTGTGGCCCGCCACCAGCCAGCAGAGCTGGCAGCAGAGTCGGACAGTGAGGAGGTTGGGGAGGAACATGGGCCAGTCCTGGGGGCTGGATAAAGCTCGGCCGAGGGCTCTGCGTCGGAGGCAGAGAGGGAGATAGACAGCAGTGAGACAGAGGAACAGCTGGAGCCTGTTCCCAGTGTGCGCATGTGCAGAGCTGCCGGAAGACAAGAACAACTAAGAAAGCAGGGTCGACTTGGGAGTAAAGCCACACCTTGGAGATGATTGGCCCCTCCCATAGGAAACAAAAGAGGAGCGAATGGGGAGGGGGCTTTTGCAGGAAACAATTTGTTCGTTCGGTCGTTTCAAGAGTGGAAAGTTCTGTTCGTGACTCTAAGAGACTCTGTGCCAAGTTTGGCCTTACTCTGCGTTTGGAAACAAGTTACGTGGCAGCTTGCCAAGCGAGATAAGGTCTGTGTTGATAAATATTCCTTTGAAAAACTGTTTGGACAAACCTTCCTGACTGTGAATGAAAGGAATTCACAGTCGTGTAAATAAAAGAGATTTTGCGAGGACCAATTCCTCCTTCCTGCTTTTCAAGGGAGCCTGGGGCAGGATGGAAACTGGGCCATGCAAGTGGCAGGCTGGTCCATGGCCTGGTACTAGACCGCAGCCCAGAGATTGGGGACTTTGCAGTCCCCAATTGAGGTTGTGGATTTCCATTTCCCAGAATTCTTCAGTCACTATGGCCTGGCTGAGGAATTCTGGGAGTTGAAGTCCACAAATTTTATTAAGGTTGCCAAGATTGTTGGAGACATCACCCCCCCTCTTCCCCGAGCTGGACGAAAAACTTCGTTCACACCACAACCACCAGATGATTCCCCCATTATCCGGCTCAGCAATTTCACAAACTCTGCGTACGAGTACCTTGATAACGGGCCAAGAGTCCGTTGTAGAGCATGGAGTTTATCTGTCCGCGCAATTCTCCGTCTTCAAAGTCCTTGGTGGCGACATTTAAGAAGAGCTCGTTCTGCAGCAGCATGTGGGCATCGCGCCCGCTGGCTTGTGTCCAGGAGCCACTGGCCTGGAAAATAACAAGGGTGTCAGCAGAGAGAAGCAAATGTACAAGGCTTGGTTCTTTTGTCGCGTGTGATTTCCAAGCGCGGGCAAAGAGGAACAATGCATTTCACACATTTTGAAGTCTCGGGTGTTTGCTGTCCCCAAGTTGGCTGTCTATCTCCAATCCGTCAAGTCTACCTGCTCTTCTGACAGCCAACGCTTACCGTGCCATCCCTGTAGCTGTGGGTCATGTCGTACAAAATGCTACGTTTATTTCTTCGGCGGGGTTTGGTCTCCAAGGTGACGCCAATCACCTCGCTTCCTGTTCCGGCTACCTGGATCTAGAGGGAAGATTGTCCCAAATGAATGTTCAAAGCAGGGGTGAAATCCAATTTTTTTTTACTACCGGTTGTGTGGGCGTGGCTTGGTGGGCATGGCAGGGGAAGGATACTGCAAAATATTCATTCCCACCCCACTCCAGGGGAAGGATAGTGCAAAATCCCCATTCCCTCCCCACTCCAGGGGAAGGATAGTGCAAAATCCCCATTCCCACCCCACTCCAGGGAAAGGATACTGCAAAATCCCCATTCCCTTCCCCATTACAGGGGAAGGATACTGCAAAATTCCCATTCCCTCCCCACTACAGGGGAAGGATACTGCAAAATTCCCATTCTCTCCCCACTACAGGGGAAGGATACTGCAAAATCCCCATTCCTTCCCCACTCTGGGGCCAGCCAGAGATGGTATTTGCCAGTTCTCTGAACTGCTCAAAATTTCCGCTACCGGTTCTCCAGAACCTGTCAGAACCTGCTGGATTTCACCCCTGGTTCAAAGCCACATTAACTTAATAACAGTAGAAAAGAATAACAGAGTTGGAAGAGACCTTGGAAGCAGGGGTGTTCTGCTGGGGGTTCGGAGGGGTTCGGGAGAACCTCTAGCTAAGATTCGGTGCAGTTCGGAGAATCCCCAAATCCCATACCTGGCTGGCCCCGCCCAGTCCTCCCTTCCCTTCCCAGGAGTCCCCACTTGACCCGTTTTGGATGCAGATAAGTGCAGGGCGCGCGCAGAGGCTCGGGGAGGGTGAAAAACCGGCCTATCAGAAGTTCGGGAAGGCCGGAAACAGGCCCGTTTCCAGCCTCCAGAGGGCCTCCGAAGCCTGGGGAGGCTGTTTTCGCCCACCTGGAGGCTCGAGGAAAGCCTCCGGAGCCTGGGGAGGGCAAAAATGCATCCCCTCTGTGGAGCAAGAGGCCGACTAGGCCACACCCACCATGCCCTCACTCACCCAGCAACCGGGTAAAGAACCCCTTGCTAAACTTTTTGAAGCCCACCCCTGCTTGGAGGTCTTTTAGTCCAACCCCCTGCTCAAGCAGGAAACCCTATACCTCTGATGGTGAACCTATGGCATGCAAAAGATGATCACAAGATCCCGGGACACTGCTGTTGTGACCCGTCAGCGGTCTGTGCAGTAGTAGCTGATTCAGACAGCGAGGAAGCTGGTGTGGTGCTGCGCCAGCAGCCTGTGCAGCTGGCACTCAAGTCAGACAATGAGGAGGCTGGAGAAGATGTGGTGCCAGAGGCGGGGATTCAGCCAGGGCCTTCAGAACCTCCAGAAGCTCCCATAAGTGAAGAGGACGAAGAGGAGGAGCCTCTTCTCAATGCACGGGCGCGCAGAGCTGCCAAAAGGCAGGAGTGGCTCCTCGGGAGGAGGTCTCCTCGAGAGTAAGGCTTGGGGCTAATTGGCCACTCCCTTAGCCTACTTAAGGAGGAACGCTGACTGAAGCAATTTGCAGGGAACAACTTTGTTCACTTTCCTTCGCATCTTGATCTTAGTTCTCTTATCAGTTTCCTGCAAATTGCTTCTGGACTTTCTGCCAACCATAGTAAGATTACGATTATTTATTCTTTGGATTCTTGTAGGCTGTTAAGAAAGTTCATTAACAGCCTTTGTTTTGAAAAAGACTGATTTAATTTAGTAAAGTAAGGTTTGTACAGACTTTGCGTGTGCTGCGTTCTTTGGGGTCCGTAGCTGGGGCAGAACAACTGCAACCATTCATAATAATATGAACCGGTTGCCAAGCGTCCAAATTTTGATCACGTTTCCATGGGGATGCTTGCGATGGTCATAAGACTGAAAAAACGGTCACAAGTCCTCTTTTTCAGTGCCGTTGTAACTTCAAAGTCAATAAGGGAATGGTTATAAATTGAAAACTACCTGTATTCAGAAGCAAGATCAGGAAGGGCTCTAGGGACCCACATCAAGGTATGTGGGAGCTGTACGCAATTGTGGGGCTTATATTGTGCTCACCTGCTACGATCTCATGTGCAAACTATCAGCCAGGCCAGCAAAAGTCCCCTCCAACCAGGGGTGAAATGCTCCCGGTTCGGACCAGATCGTCTGATCCGGTAGCGATGGAGGCGGGTGGTTCAGAGAACTGGTAGCAAAAATCCCTGCCCCCCCCCCCATGCCCAGCTGAGCCGCACAATCATCAGAGGCTTTTTTTTTTACTTTTAAAAGCATTTTTTCTACAACCTCTTTGGCCGAAAAAATGCTTTTAAAAGTAAAAAAAAAAAAAAGCCTCTGATGATCGCGCAGCTCAGCTGGGATCGTCAAAGGCTTTTAAAAGCAATGCTTTTAAATGCCTCTGATGATCCCAGCTGAGTTGCCTGATCGGCAGAGGCTTTTTTTCTTTTAAAAGCCTCTGATGATCCAAGCTGAGTTGCCTGATCGTCAGAGGCATTTAAAAGAAAAAAAGCCTCTGCCGATCAGGCAACTCAGCTGGGATCGTCAGAGCCTTTTGAAAGCATTTTTGTACAACCTAGGTTGTAGAAAAAATGGTTTTAAAAGTAAAAAGAAAAAGAAATTGGCCATGCCCACCCAGTCACATTACCCCCCACCAAGCCACGCCCACAGAACTGGTAGTAACAAATTTTAGATTTCACCACTGCCTCCTACCTGGTATTCCCACGTCCCATTTTCATGTAGCACAATCTTGGCAGAGCCCACTGCCCCTGTGTGAGTGGGTATCAAGGCGTTGGCTCCACAAAGCACACTCTGTATGGCTGGAAGAGAAAGAGGGAGAGGGAGAGGAGAGGGGAGAGAGAGAGAGAGAGAGAGAGAGAAGAGGGAGAGGGAAATGATGTTTTTAGGATGACAACATAGGTGAGCATACTGACTGGGGATTCCTGGGAGTTGAAGTTCACATATCTTACAATTATGTGTAGGGTAGTTACAACCCAGATTTGAAATTCTGACAGAGGCAGGGTCAGGGGTGAAATGCTCCCGGTTCGGACCGGATTGCCCGATCTGGTAGCGATGATGTCGGGTGGTTCAGAGAACCGGTAGCAAAAATCCCTGCTCCCTCCATGCCCAGCTGAGCCACGCAATCACCAGAGGCTTTTTTTTTTAATTTTTAAAAGCATGTTTTATACAACCTCTTTGGAGGAAAAAATGCTTTTAAAAGTAAAAAAAAAAAAAAGCCTCCGATGATCGTGCGGCTCAGCTGGGATCGTCAGAGGCTTTTAAAAGCATTTCTTCTACAACCTCTTCGGCCGAAGAGGTTGTAAAAAAATGCTTTTAAAAGCCTCTGACGATCCCAGCTGAGTTGCCTGATCGTCAGAGGCTTTTAAAAGTTTTTTTTTTTACAACCTCTTCGGCCGAAGAGGTTGTATAAAAATGTTTTTTAAAAGTAAAAAAAAAAAAACCTCTGACGATCAGGCAACTCAGATCGTCAGAGGCTTTAAAAGCATTGTTTTTACAACCTCTTCGGCCGAAGAAGTTGTAGAAAAAATGGTTTTAAAAGTTTTTTTAAAAAAAGTTGGCTACACCCACCCAGTGACATTACCCCCCACCAAGCCACGCCCACAGAACCGGTAGTAACAAATTCTACATTTCACCATTGGGCAGGGTTCTCATGGTTACATCACGTGACTGTACAGGTCGTCCTCAATTTAGGACCACAATGGAGCCCAAAATTTCTGTCCCTAAGCGAGACCGGGGTTAAGTGAAGTTTGCCCCATGTTATGACCTTCCTTTGCCACAGTTATGAAGTGAATTGTTGCAGTTCTTAAATTAAAAACATGGCAGTTAAGTGAATCCGGCTTCCCCATTAACTTTGCTTTGTCAGAAGGTTGCAAAGTGGGATTACGTGACGCCGGGACGCTGCAACCGTCATAAATACACGCCAGTTGCCAAGCGTCCAAATTTTGATCACGCGACCAAGGGGATGCTGCAACAGTCATAAGTGTGAAAAAACAGTCATAAGTCACTTTTTTCAGTGGTGCTGTGTAACTTCGAACAGTCACTAAATGAATGGTTGTAAGTCAAGGACTACCAGTACTTGAAGTGCACCAAAGTGATATTTTTTTCTGACTAATAATGCCAAAAGCTCAGAAACCCTGCAAGGGGAAGAGCAGGGGTGAAATGCTCCCGGTTTGGACCGGATCGCCTGATCTAGTAGCGATGGAGGCGGGTGGTTCGGAGAACCGGTAGCAAAAATCCCTGCCCCCCACCCCCCATTGCCCAGCTGAGCCACACAATCATCAGAGGCTTTTTTTTTTTATTTTTAAAAGCATTTTTTCTACAACCTCTTTGGCTGAAAAATGCTTTTAAAAGTAAAAAAGTCTCTGATGATCGCGCAGCTCAACTGGGATCATCAGAGGCTTTTTTTAAAAAAAAGAAAGTCTCTGCTGATCAGGCAAATCAGCTGGGATCGTCAGAGGCTTTAAAAGCATTTTTTTTACAACCTCTTCAGCCGAAGAGGTTGTAGAAAAAATTGTTTTAAAAGTTAAAAAAAAAAAGTTGGCCATGCCCACTCAGTCATATCCCCCACCACCCACCAAGCCACCCCACAGAACCGGTAGTAACAAATTTTACATTTCACCCCTGGGGAAGAGTAGCCAGGATGAATAAGTCACAGGGACCCCACACTGTCACTCACTGTCACAGCTTCTCCGGACTGTGATAAACCCAGCTAACTTCTGACGGGCTCCACCGTCCACCTCTGCGGTCATCCTCAGCTGTCCTTGTGCCAGCCAGTCCATCTCCTGAGCCCCCAATTCCATCAGCACCTCTGCAAAATCGGAGTCCTGGGAAAATGACAGCGAAAGCAAGCAAGCCAACAGCAGCAGCTTCATTAAGTGTTCCCAAAGTCACTCAAAGCAGGGTTTTTAAAATGTCGGCTTACCTGTAAGGTGACATTAGCCAGAACCTGCCTGAGGACATTGTCCTGATGTAGGATTTGCACCCTTAGAGGGATCCGATCAGATTCTGTAAGAAAGCGGAGAGATGATTCACGCTATACGGGTAGTCCTGGACTTAAAATCATCCCTTTAAGGACTGTTTGAATTATGTCTGTGCCGAAATTTTTTTTACTATTCTATTCTATTCTGTTCTGTTCTGTTCTGTTCTGTTCTGTTCTGTTCTGTTCTGTTCTGTTCCGTTCTGTTCTGTTCTATTCCATTCCATTCCATTCCATTCTACTCATTCTGTTCTGTTCTGTTCTGTTCTGTTCTGTTCCATTCCATTCCATTCCATTCCATTCTACTCATTTTCTTCTATTCTATTCTATTCTATTCTATTCTATTCTATTCTATTCTATTCTATTCTATTCTATTCTATTCTATTCTATTCTATTCTATTCTATTCTATTCTATCCCATTCTATTCCATTCCATTCCATTCCATTCCATTCCATTCTACTCATTCTATTCTGTTCTGTTCTGTTCTGTTCTGTTCTGTTCTGTTCTGTTCTGTTCTATTCCATTCCATTCCATTCCATTCCATTCTACTCATTTTCTTCTATTCTATTCTATTCTATTCTATTCTATTCTATTCTATTCTATTCTATTCTATTCTATCTATTCTATTCTATAATTCACATTTGGTCTTTAACCATCTCTGGGACATATCCCATGCAAAACTCTGGCTGTAACCCACTGGACTGGACTGGTTTAATCTTAACTAACTGGCCGAGAGAATTTTTTCAGTCGTGACTCGTTGCTTCCCTTTGGCCTTGCTCACTTTTGTCTGCTGGCTCCAGAAACCCCTTAGTAACAAGGACAAAATGCAGATTGTTCTCTGTGTCACTCAGGGTCAGCATAGCGATGCCGCCCATGTTAAGGGGAGTCGGGTCCATGGACGTCAAGATGGCGCTGAAAGTCTCTGGAACAACAGAAGAGAATAAGACCTTTATTTTAACGGGGTCAGCGGCAAATTCAAATCTATATATATAAAAGCGAAAACTACTCACACATTAATCATGAAATCTCCAGAACCGTAAAGCCTACAAACTTGAAATTGCCACATATGTTCCTCTTGGCTTCTAGGTGCTCACTAAGATTTTTTGAAATGACCATTAGAGCATTAATATTTCCTATATTCTTATTAACATGCTCTGATGCTAAGGAGTTCTACTCCACCTCCCCACCTGAAAAGAAATCTGTTCCAAATGCAAAACACAAGCAGAGGAGAGGAGTTTTCACTTTCAGTTTTACTTTCACAGCAGCAAACAGCTTTACTAAAAGAACAGTTGAGCTAAGCCATGCCCAGCCTCCTCCTGTCTCCTTCCTGCTCACACAGCAAATACTGTTTGAGTTTCCAAACACCCCTCAACTCTCTCACACACTGACAGGATGCTAGTATCTGGAGGTAATTAGAAATTGGGATTATAGACACCATCATTTCTTATTTTCTCTCTCTCTCTCTCTCTCTTTTTTTTTTTTTTTTTTTGAGGGTTCAGGGTGTCATATATAACTAATATATATAATTCCCGTGTCTGAGATTTATAAAATAGTTTGTGAGACAAAATAAACTCATGTCAGCCCACAGGACAAACCAGGTGAGGAAAAAGACATGACATGAAATATTAAAATTCTACATTATTGCTATAGTATTAATATATTAAATTTTTAAAACCTAGCAGCATTTCTTTTTCTCTTTCTCTTTTATACTAAAGTCAGGGAAGCCAAGGCAATTTTGAGTTTCTTTCTCGCATATTTCTTTGTTTCTTATTTTTTCACTGCCATCTCTACAGCAGGGATATTCAACCTTGGCAACTGTAAGACTTGTGGACTTAAACTCCCACAATTCCCCAGCATGGCTGGCTGGGGAATTCTGGGAGTTGAAGTCCACAAGTCTTAAAGTTGCCAGGGTTGGATATACCCCTGGTCTACATCTTGTGAGCTTGCAATCAAATCAAATCTACACCCTAAATTTCAACGTTCAAACATGGCCTTCATCATTGTAGGTCCCATCGCATGTCTTGAACTACAAGGATACTTAACAGCCAGATCCCAAACTACTGGAAATTCTGTGAGTTGTAGTTCAATACCTGGAAGAAAAGAAAAGCCATGAAGCCAGAGGAGGTTAAGTTCAACCAGGGGTGAAATGCTCCCAGTTCGGACCGGATTGCTTGATCCGGTAATGATGGAGGTGGGTGGTTCGGAGAACCGGTAGCAAAAATCCCTGCCCCCCCCATTGCCCAGCTGAGCCGTGATCAATCATCAGAGGCCTTTTTTTTATTTTTAAAAGCATTTTTTCTACAACCTCTTTGGCTGAAAAAATGCTTTTAAAAGTAAAAAATAAAAGCCTCTGATGATCGCGTGGCTCAGCTGGGATCGTCAGAGGCTTTAAAAAAAAAAAAAGAAAGCCTCTGCTGATCAGGCAAGTCAGCTGGGATCGTCAGAGGCTTTAAAAAAAAAAGAAAGCCTCTGCTGATCAGGCAAGTCAGCTGGGATCGTCAGAGGCTTTAAAAAAAAAAGAAAGAAAGCCTCTGCTGATCAGGCAAGTCAGCTAGGATCATCAGAGGCTTTAAAAAAAAAAGAAAGCCTCTGCCGATCAGGCAAGTCAGCCTGATTCAGCCAAAGAGGTTGTAGAAAAAATGGTTTTAAAAGTTAAAAAAAAAAAAGTTGGCCACGCCCACTTAGTCATATTACCCCCACCACCAATGTGACATGTGAAATGGAAAGTTAAAAACTTCCCAGACTTGAAAAAGTTCCCCGGGATAATCCTGGTTACCTAAACCATAGATTACCTGCAAAGAGGCCCGATGCTTGACAATCTGGCCTTGAACCTCCCCTGCAGGATGAGTCTGGGTGATTAGGGTTATGCGCATCTGATCCATTTTCAAGAGCCGGATGGAAGCCTTCTGCAAATTCCGCCACATGCCACAGATCTAGAAAAGAAGAAGAGGTGGATGGATACCTAGGGCCCAGTGGTGGGTTTCAAATTTTTTACTACCGGTTCTGTAGGTGTGGCTTGGTGGGCGTGGCTTGGTGGGCGTGACAGGGGAAGAATACTGTAAAATTTTTATTTTTTTATTTATATTTGAATTTATATACCGCCCTTCTCCCCCTAGGGACTCAGGGCAGTGAACAGCCGAAATTAAAATACATACAATATAAAAGTTAAGATAGCTAAAATAAATTAAATCAATCGGCCCCCAATTTAAAACCCCAAAGCTATACAATTAAAAACTAACCCATAAAAAACCTATTCAGGCCAGGCCGGCTTGCTGAAATAAAAACGTCTTCAGGGCCTTACAGAAAGTGGGGAGATCCGGGATCAGTCGTATTCCGGGAGGAAGCTCATTCCAGAGGGCGGGTGCCCCCACAGTGAAGGCTCTCCCCCTGGGGGCCGCCAGCCGACATTGCTTGACCGACGGCACCCTGAGGAGGCCCTCTCTGTGAGAGCGTATTGGCCGGTGGGAGGTTAACGGTAGCAGAAGGCGGTCTCGTAAATACCCTGGCCCTAAGCCATGGAGCGCTTTAAAGGTGAGAACCAACACTTTGAAGAGCACCCAGAAGACCACCGGGAACCAGTGCAGCTCGCGCAGGAGAGGTGTCACATGGGAGCGCCATGTCGCTCCCGTAATCACCCACGCGGCTGCATTCTGGAAATGGAAATCTCCATTTCCATCCCACTCCAGGGAAGGATACTGCAAAATCCCCATTTCCTCCCGATCAGCTGGGACTCGGGAGGCAGAGAATGGATGGGGGCGGGGCCAGTCAGAATTTTCACTACTGGTTCTCCGAACTACTCAAAATTTCTGCTACCGGTTCTCCAGAACTGGTCAGAACCTGCTGAAACCCACCTCTGCTAGGGCCCCCCAAACCAATAATCGAGGTTTATATATTGCACTGCAATATGCAGTAGAGGAATTCCCTCTGGAAAATAATGGGAAGAGCTCCCACAGACAAAGGACGAACTTACATTTCTACATTTTGCAGAAGGAGGAGACAATAACAATACGGTTGTACAAATGTGTAAGCAATGGATGACGTAAGCAGAGATATTCAGAATTAGCAAATCTCAAAAGTTGCTAACCCACCGTTCTACTGCGACTGACTTCAAAAAAGAATTACAGGTAGTCCTCGATTTACAGCTCAATTTCTATTGTTAAGCACGACAGTTGTTAAGTGGCCCCATGTTATGCCCTTTCTTGCCACAGTTGTTAGGTGAATCACTGCAGTTGTTTTAAGTTAGTAACCAGGTTGTTAAGTGAATCTGGCTTCCCTATTGACTTTGCTCGTCAGAAGGTCGCCAAAGGGGAATCACATGACCCTGGGAAGCTGTGACCGTCATAAGTATGAGTCAGTTGCCAAGCGTCCGACTTTTGATCATGTGACTGTGGGGATGATACAACGGTCGTAAGTATGAAATACAGTCATCGGTCACTTTTTTCAGTGCCGGTATAAACTTTGAACAGTCACTAAACAAATGATTGCAAGTTATTTTACAACTGTGTGACTAACAACCACAGGGATTCATTTAACAATTGTCTTGCTTACCAACATAAATTTTGGGCTCAATTGTGGTCAAAGGTTGAGGATGATCTGTATAGTCTTTTGTATACTAGCTCCTCCAGGGAGGAAAATCCAAAATTTTTCCCTACCAGTTCTGTGGGCGTGGCTTGGTGGGCATGGCAGGGGAAGGATACTGCAAAATCTCCATTCCCACCCCACTCTGGGACCAGCCAGAGGTGGTATTTGCCAGTTCTCTGAACTACTCAAAATTACCGCTACCGGTTCTCCGAACTACTCAAAATTTCCGCTACCGGTTCTCCGAACTTCTCAAATTTCCGTTGGGCTGCCGTTCTCTAGAACCTGTCAGAACCTGCTGGATTTCACACTGAGCTCCTCCCATAAATCAATTCATAATGCAAATCTGTTATAAATATTTCTCACCCTAGAGTCTTTGCTAGGATGCTCAAGTAATGCAGGGATTCAATCACAAGAGAAGGGATGCAAACACAATGTGTTCTTGTATTAAGGAATTGTCCTTATTGAATTAGTTAATTAGTTAGTTAGTTAATTAGTTAATTAATTAATTAGTTAATTAGTTAATTAGTTAATTAGTTAATTAGTTAATTAGTTAATTAGTTAATTAGTTAATTAGTTAATTAGTTAATTAGTTAATTAGCTAATTAGCTAATTCATTAATTCGTTAATTCGTTAATTCGTTAATTCATTGAAGGGCAGGAATTCATATGTCCTTGAATTAAGGAGAAACTCCCGGACAGTGAGAACAATTAACCAATGGAAAAGCATGCCATCAGAAGTCATGGGTGCTTCATCATTGGAGGATTTTAAGAAGAGATTGGACAGTCACTTGTCTGAAATGGTATAGAGCCAGGGGTATCAAACTTAAAACCTGCGGGGTGCTTAGATCTGGCCTGCGGGGCTGACCTGGAAACAGCGAAGGACCGGCCCGCGATGTGAAAATGGAGCCGGGGGGCGGGCATGCGTGATCCTCCCGAGCATGGCCGCCCCGGCAGGCCCACCCCGCCACCCCTCGGTGTCATTCGCTGGCAGAGAGCTGTAAGAGGCAGTCACAGCTAAAAATGGAGCCTAGGGGGAGGCGCACATGGCCCCTCGACATCTGTTTTCACTGGCAGAGTGCTAGCAAAACAAACTACTAGCAAAAGTGGATTCCCACCCCAGCCCACCACAGGTGCCCCCGGCACGAGTTGACGTCGGGCTGGCCACGCTCTCCTGGCCCCCCAGGTCAAACACAACCCTGATGCAGCCTTCAATGAAATCGAGTTTGACACCCGTATCAGGGTGGATTTGATTTAAATCGAGTTGATTTAAATCACAATTTAAATCATGATTTAAATCACTAGTAAAAAGGCTTGATTTAAATCAACTCGATTTAAATCATAATTTTAAAGAGCAACTGTCATCTCTGCTACTCCTTTGACCCACTGTTGACTCACTGATAGTCCCAGTGTTGCAGAATATACAGCCTCATGCTACATAACTCAGCTCCATTTCATGCTGAATAAACTAAATTATTTATGTATTTTAAATAGAAAACTATCTTACGATAGATTTTTACCCCAAAAGTTTTTTATTAAAATAAATTTGATAAAAATCAAAAAAATCCAATTTAAATAAAAAAAATCTGATTTTTTTTGATTTTTTTTAAAAAAAATCATTGATTTTTATCCACCCTGTCTGGTATAGAGTCTCTTGTTTATTTATTTTATTTTATTTTAATTTATTGAATTTCTATACCGCCCTTCTCCCGAAGGACTCAGGGCGGTGTACAGCCAAAAATAAAACCATGACAATATACAAATTAAAAGCAATTTAAAACAAATAAATTGGCCAAAAAAACTCTAATAAAACACCCCATTTAAAATAGTAAAATGTTATTATTATTTAGGCCAGCCCTGCTTGTTGGAATAATAATGTTTTTAGGGCGCTACGAAAGGTATGTAAGCAAGGGGCTGGACTAGAAGACCTCCAAGGTCTCTTCCAGCGCTATTCCGATTCATACTTCACAGTGCCAACAGCCCCATTTCCTTAATGTCGATGGAGATTCTCAATCATGCAGGTCATGGTTGTCCCAAAAGAGCTTCTTCCAAAAAGCAACTGCGCTTTCTTGTTTTGCTTTTTTTTCCTTGAAGACATTTCGCTTCTCATTCAAGAAGCTTCTTCAGTTCTACGGAAATGTTTTCAAGGAAAAAAACCAAGAAAGTCCAATTGTGTTGTGAACAGCTTGCCTCCAGACGTTGTAGGGCAGGGGTCTCCAAACTTGGCAGCTTTAAGACTTGTGGATAGCTGGCTGGAGAATTCTGGGAGTTGAAGTCCACAAGTCTTAAAGCTGCCGAGTTTGAAGACCTCTGTTGTAGGTGCTCCATCACTGGTGGTTTTTAAGAAGAGACTGAACAGCCATCTGTCTGAAACGGTGCTTGAGCATGGTGTTGGACTAGAAGACCTCTGAGGTCCCTTCCAAGGCTATGCTGATCGATTGTGGTCCACTTACCATACCATCTTGGAAGATGGTGTCCTGTTGTATAGGATGTTCAAAAAGGACCGTCCCATCTGGCTCCAAGAAACGGACACGGATTGGTTGGCTCAGCCTAGACAAGAAACAGAGGATATGAGTAGAATTTGGAACTTCGCGGGTATTTGTATGTAGGTCTTTGGTTATTCGGGTTTTCTCCCGCGTAAAATTGGAAGTGTCTTGGCGACGTTTCATGCACGAAGCCGAAAACACCAGCCTGAAGATGACGAATGAGACTTCGTCGAAACGTCGCCAAGACACTTCCAATTTTACGCAGGAGAAAACCCGAATAACCAAAGACCTACATATATATATATTTCCTGAAATGGTACTCACCATCAAGAAAGGACTTCCAGGTGTTGAAGTCACTTTCCAAAAACTGAGATTCTAAATAGTCCTCAATTTATGACCACAACTGAGCCCAAAACTTTGTTGCTAAATGAGAAATTGGTCCAGTGAATTTCGCCTCATTTTACGACTTTTCTTGCCACTTTTGTTAAGTGAATCACTGCAGTTCTTAAATGAACAACACGGTTGTTAAGTGAATTTGGTGTGCCCCATTGACTTTGCTCCTCAGAAGGTCACAAAAGGGGATCACATGACTCTGAAACACTGCAAATCGTCATAAATGTGAGTCAATCGGAATATAAATTACAGTGACCGTGGGGATACTGGAACGGTCATAAATCATCTTTTTCGGTGCAGTTGTAACTTTGACCCGTCACTAAATGAACTGTTGTAAGTTGAGGACTACCTGTGGTTTCTCTAGCTAGCCATCTGAACATCAGAAGGTGTTACTGCTAGTATCTGCCTACCATACTGAGGTCAGAACACCTCAACTTATGACGATTCATTTAATAACAGTATTAAAAAGTTAGACCAGTATGGAAAACAGTGGCTTATTATCAGTCCTCGCCATTATGACCGTTGCAGCAAACCCACAGTCACGTGATCAAAATTTGGGCCCTCAGCAACCGGCATGTAGTTACAACCGTTGTAGGTTCCTGAGGGCATGTGACCAGCATTTACCAACTTCCCAGGGGCTTCAGATAAGCTAAATCAATGGGGGAAGCCAGATTTGCTTAACAACGAGGTGATGCCTTAATATAAGGCAACTGGCAACTGGCAGTTGGAACAGAGTTCTTTTCAGGTGGGGAGGGGGAGTAGAACATCTAACTCCTTAGCATCAGAGCGTGTGAATATATAATACTTAACGCTTAACGACCTTGGCAAAAATGGTCATAACATTGGGCATGGCCCTCCCTTAACAACCAACCACCTACTTAGCGATGGAAATGTTGGTCCCAACTGCAGTTATACTGTCGTTCACCAAAGTTAATTTTGTAAAGCTTCTTTTCGAAAATATTCAGCGGGACACTGAATTTTCACGGTGACTTCCCATCTCGCTTTGAAATAAAAGCAATTTTATCGATACCGTGTTTCTCCGAAAATAAGACCAGGTCTTATATTAATTTTTACTCCAAAAGACGCATTAGGGCTTCTTTTCTGGTTAGGTCTTATTTTGGGGGGGAAAATACAGTACTAAATGCACCCATCTGGCTGACAATCTTAACTGGGGCTTATTTTGGGGGTAGGGCTTATATTAAGAGCATCCTGAAAAATCATGCTAGGGCTTATTTTCTGGCTGGGTCTTATTTTCGGGGAAACAGGGTTATAATAAAAAAAAGGGTGCACTTTCAGAGAGGCCCAATTTGCTGCTAAAAAAAAAAAGTTAAGAACAAACAGCCCTCCCTCGTGCTCACCAACCCCCCCACCCCTTGCAAATCTTTACATAAATAAAGGAAACGGTGCTTTTGGCAGCCAAAAACAATTCCTTTCCACGCTTCTCTCCCTCCCATCCCCCCTTCCCCCCCCCCCCCAAAGGCAGAGGGAGCATCTTGGCTTCTCCAGGGTTGAGAAGCTGTCATGCTTTTGGCCTTGCCGGGAATCATAACAACCACGAAGGCTGTTTTGGGGGAATCAGAGCACACATTTGGAAATTACTCATCTCTCGGCTATGCAAAGGGTTGGAAAAAAACAGAGGAGAGGGGGGAGGTGTCCTTTCACCGAAGGGGCTGGGTGCCTCGCAGTTCATGCAGCAAGGAGATTTTGCAATTGCAGGAGGGAAGGGTAATCAATCAACATCGGTACTCCCCCCCTCTCTCCTTCTGCTTCCCCAGCCATGCACAAGACAGATAGAGAAAGCTCCACCAAAAAACACCCCATTTTATTTGGAGAAAGACTTGAGTATGCAGAGGGTGGGACAATAAAGCCTCCAAACTGTTCGTGGGACCATGAACCTCTCCGTTCCCCTCGCTCCTCCCTCCTGGCTTGCCAAATTGTATTCAGTCATACTAACTGCGTGAGAGAGCTTTGGACCAGGGATGAATCCGGTGCAAAGCCAAGCTAGAATTCCCCGGTGCCTGGAGTTTCGTAAAGTGACTGGAGAAATACCAACTGCTTATCATAAACGGACTACAGAGTACAAGGGCGAAGAAAGGGATGTGGAGAGGATAGTAGCAGTGGTGGGTTTCAAATTTTTTTTACTACCGGTTCTGTGGGTGTGGCTTGGTGGGAGTGGCATGGCTTGGTGGGAGTGGCATGGCTTGGTGGGCGTGGCAGGGGAAGGTTGCTGCAAAATCCCCATTTCCTTCCGATCACCTGCGACTCAGGATGCAGAGAATAGATGGGGGCGGGGTCAGTCAGAGGTAGTATTTACCGATTCTCCGAACTATTCAAAATTTCTGCTACCGGTTCTCCAGAACTGGTCAGAACCTGCTGAAACCCACCTCTGGATAGTAGCTGTACTGAAACCCAAGGAAGAGTTTGGCATTTATCTTATCATGGACTAGCTGGGTGCTTTGCTAAGAAACTATGTGATTGGGCTTGATAAATTGACACTTAGAAGTCTGACACTTAATGTAGAATGGGTAACTCTGTAGCATCAGAGCGTGTTAATATAAGGCAACTGGCAGTTAGAAAAGAGGGGGAGGGGGAGTAGAATGTCCCAACCCGGATGAGTCACATGCTGGCCAGGCCCACGTCCAGTTTAGCGAAGGGGTAGCATCAAAGCATGTTAATATAAGGCAACTGGCAGTTGGAACAGAGTTCTTTTCAGATGGGGAGGGGGAGTAGAACATCTAACTCCTTAGCATCAGAGCGTGTGAATATATAATACTGTAAATGAAATACTAATGATCTGATGGTCATTTCAAAAAATCCTTTCTTAGCGAGCACCTAGAAGCCATGAGGAACATACGTGCCAAATTTCAAGTTTGTAGGCTTTACGGTTCTGGAGATTTCGTGGTGAGTGAATGGTATTTGGCTTTTATATACATGGATAAGTTTGTGTATTCTGCTAAGTATGGCCAGCTGGGGAATTTTGGCAGTTGAGGTCTTAAAGTTACCAAGGTTGGACATCCCATGGATGGCTTCTCCCTTGCTGAAGTTGTTAAAACCAGAGCTGGGTGGACACCGTTCATGGATCCTCATGGAGATCCCTACACTGACCCAGAGGGTTCAACTAGATTACCTCTGAAGTCCCTTCCAACACATGCATTTTATGATTCTTTGGTTTGTCTTGAACATCACTGGTGGGGTCTGGCCTCTTATGGGAAATTCTTACTCCAGGGGTGAAATGCTCCCGGTTTGGACCGGATCGCCCAATCCGGTAGCAATGGCAGCGGGTGGTTCGGAGAACTGGTAGCAAAAATCCCTGGCCCCCCCCATGCCCAGCTGAGCTGTGCGAACTTTTTTTTTTACTTTTAAAAGCATTTTTTTCTTTGGCCGAAAAAATGCTTTTAAAAGTAAAAGTAAAAAAAAAAAAAAGTTGGCCACGCCCACCCAGTCACATTACCCTACCGCCACCAAGCCACGCCCACAGAACCGGTAGTAACAAATTTTACATTTCACCACTGGGTATTAGTACCTCACTTGATCTTGATTGTATCCAGTGGTGAAATCCTCTGAAGTCTGCTACCGGTTCTGTGAGTCTGCTACTGAGCGCGCGCTTTCCGCATGCATGCACACTTTGCACGCATGCGCACCTGAGGCGCGCCCGTGCAGTGCTAAAAAAGGAACATTTTGAAGCCTTCCAAGTCTGCAAAGGTAAGTAGAACAGCGAGGGGGGGGGAATCCACTGTGCCGCGCGATTTAGATTAGCTAGAAAATCTGACGATTCTAGCTAATATACATCGCATGTCACAGCTGATCGTCGCCCAGCTGATCATCGGAAATGCCGGTTTGGGAGAACCGGCCTGAACCGGTAGCATTTCACCTCTGATTGTATCCCTCTGTTAACGCAATTTAGGATTGCATTGGCTTTTTTGTCTGCCGCCGCACACTGTTGGCTCATATTTAGCTGGTTGTCCACTAAGACATCAGATGGAGACACGATTGAGGCTCACCCACCTTTCATAGTTGATGGAGAAGATCAGATGCAAGTGAGTGAGAGTGAATCTGGCTTTCGCCACCGCACTGGTGGCAGCCGCCCTCGGATCTGAGCCCCCGATCAGCAATGCCACAAAATCTGAGGAGCAAAAAAGAGAAGCTTGCGTGATCTTACACTGCACGCAACCTGGAAATAAATTCATTTATTTATTATTGAAATACAGGGAGTCCTTGACTTACGACTGGTCATATAGCGATAATTCAAAAGTTATAAGGGAGTAGTTGCAATCCAGATTTTGAAATTCCGACAGAGGGAGGGTTCTCATGGTTACGTGACTGTATAGGCAGTCCTCAATTTACGTCCACAATTAAGTCCAAACCTGATGTTGCTAAGCGAGAAAAGTGTTAAGTGAATTTTGCCCCATTTTACGACTTTTCTCACCACATTCGTTAAGCGAATCGATGTAGTTGTTGAATTAGGAACACGCTTATTAAGTGACTTGACTTGGCTTGTTAGAAGGTCGCAAAAGGGGCTCATATGACCCCCCCAGGAGACTGCTCCCGTCATAAATATGAGTTAGTGGTCAATCACCCGAATTTTAAATCATGGGGAGATGCTGCAGCGGTCATAGGTGTGAAAAATGGTCATAAGTCACTATTTTCGGTGCCGCCGCAACTTCAAACGGTCACTAAATGAACTGTCGTAAGTCAAGGACTACCTGTACTTTAGATGCTCGGCAAACGGACTGCAAGTACAGCCATTTACGGCATCCCATGGTTTTGCCAAAATGCAATAGCAGTAGCAGTAGCAGTAGCACTTAGACTTATATACCGCTTCACAGTGCTTTTACAGCCCTCTCTAAGCGGTTTACAGAGTCAGCATATTTGCCCCCAACAATCTTTTATTTATTTATTTTATTTATTTGATTTGATTTGATTTGATTTCTATACCGCCCTACTCCCGAAGGACTCAGGGCGGTGCACAGCCAAACAATAAAACACATACATACAAAATTTAAAAGTAGAATAAAATCAAATTAAATAATTTTGGCCCCGACAAATTTAAAACCCCAAACTTTTAAAACCAATTTAAAATTGAATGTATAAAATACTAAAAGATATTTGAAAATTAAAAATCTTTTATAAAAGAGGGAGAAAATTAGGCCAGGCCCGCCTGGTGAAATAGTAAGGTCTTTAAAGCGCGACGGAAGGTGCGCAGATCCGGGATCCTCCGTATTTCTGGGGGGAGCTCGTTCCAGATAGTAGGTGCTCCCACAGAGAAGGCTCTCCCCCTGGGGGCCGCCAGTCGGCATTGTTTGGCTGATGGCACCCGGAGGAGCCCCTCTCTATGGGAGCGTACCGGCCGGTGGGAGGCTATTGGTGGTAGTAGGCGGTCCCGCAAGTACCCAGGTCCTAAGCCATGGAGCGCTTTAAAGGTGGTAACCAAAATCTTACTACTTACCTTTACTACCGGTTCGCAGCGAGGCCGCACGCGTGTGCTCTTCTGAGCATGCGCAGAAGCGTTTTGATGATGTCGGGGTCGGTGGGCGGAGCCTCCCGTCGGTTTTACTACCAGTTCTATAGAACCGGTGCGAACCGGGGGCAACCCACCACTGCTCGGAAGGATGGAAGGCCGAGTCAACCTTGAGCCGGTTAGGATCGAACTCCTGGCTGTGGGCAGAGTCGGCCTGCATATGCATTTCATTTCATTCAGCCTGAAATGAAATGCATGCAGGTACATCCTCGACGTACGACCAGAATTGAGTCCAAAATTTATATTGCCGAGCGAGGAATTGGTTACATGAGTTTTGCCTCGTTTTATGACTTGTCTTGCCAGTGTTATGAAGTGAATCCCTGCAGTCATTAAGTTAGCAACACGGTTGGGTAAGGGAATCCGGCTTCCCCATTGACTTTGCTTATCCGGAGGTCACAAAAGGGGATTAAATGATGCTGGGACAGTGCATACATATGTACCAATTGCCAAGGATCCGAATTTAAATCACATGACCACGGAGATGCTGCAATGGTCATAAGTGTGAAAAATAGCATTAACAATAGCACTTAGACTTATATACTGCTTCACAGTGCTTTTACAGTCCTCTCTAAGCGGTTTACAGATTCAGCGTATTTACCCCCAACAACCTGGGTCCTCATTTTACCGACCTCGGAAGGATGAAAGGCTGAGTGAACCCTGAGCCTGATGAGATTCGAACTGCTGGCAGTGAGTTGAATTAGCCTGCAATACTGCATTCTAACCATTGAAACCACTTTTTCAAGGGCCGTTGTAACTTCGAACGGTCACTAAACATCCTGTTGTAAGTCCAGGACTGCCTATACCAGGGGTCTGCAACCTTAAATACTCAAAGAGCCATTTGGAACCGTTTCCCACAGAAAAGAAAACACCGGGAGCCACAAAACCTGGGTGGGCGTGGCCAACTCAATGTCACTCACTTCCACCGGTCACATGACCCCTAGCCACACCTAACCAGTAGGTCATTAGGGCAGAGAACCAGTTGTTAAAAAACACCAGGAACCACAAAATCCTTTTGACGTATCTCTCTCTCCCCTCCCTCCCTCTCTCCCCTGCTCTCCCTCTCTCTCTGTATCTCTCTATGTCTCTCTCTCTCCCCCTCTCTCTGTATCTCTCTGTCTCTGCCCTGGCCGCTTCTCCATCCCCCTTCTCCATCCCCCGCCATTGCCCTTACCTCCTCAGGCTAGGCGAAGAGTGACTGGGAGGCAAGGGGTGGGGCCAGCCAGTGGTGGGATCATCCAACAGGGAGCCACAGCAGAGGGCCCAAGGAGCCGCATGTGGCTCCAGAGCCGCAGGTTGCAGACACCTGGCCTATACTTTGGCCATCGGCCAAACAATGTCGACTGGTGGCCCCTAGGGGGAGAGCCTTCTCTGTGGGGGCACCTACGATCTGGAACGAGCTCCCCCCGGAGATACGGAGGATCCCGGATCTGCGCACCTTCCGTCGCGCGCTTAAAACGTTTTTATTTCATCAAACTGGCCTGGCCTAAATCTTCTCCCTTTTAAAATTTTAAAATTTAAATTTTAAATACTAATTTTAATTTGTTTAATTATGGGATATTTTAAAATTTAGCCAAATTGTTTAATCTGTTTTAATCTATTTTAAATTTTGTATTTCTGTGTTTTATCTTTTGGCTGTTCACCGCCCTGAGTCCTTCGGGAGAAGGGCGGCATAGAAATTTAATAAAATAAAATAAAAATAAAATATACTAAATATCTCTGGAAGATAAAACTCTGTAACACTACATCCTGTGATTACACACAAAAACACGCAGCCTGGAATCGGGACCTGGGCACCACCTCACTCATACCTATCTGGCTGTCATCTCGGATCAAGTCCTGAGAACTGAAGTAGGCCCGATCGTTGTAGTTCCTGTGTAAGCCGTCTTCTTTCTCCTGGGAGTATTCCATCTTGTCCAACAGCTGCTCAGATCTCTTCTCCGCGATGTAGGCGGGGGCTGCACGAAGGGGAACAGGAAGAGATTTGAAGTGTCAAAAATTAAGAGCCAATCCATATTCAGGTAGTCTTCGACTTACGACCAGTGCTGGGTTTCAAATTATTTTATTACCGGTTCTGTGGGCGTGGCTTGGTGGACTGGGTGTTGCTTGGGGGTGTGGCTTGGTGGGTGTGGCAGGGGAAGGATACTGCAAAATCTCCATTCCCTCCCCAATCCAGGGAAAGGTTACTGCAAAATCCCCATTTCCTCCCAATCAGCTGGGACATGGGAGGCAGAGAATAGATGGGGGTGGGGCCAGTCAGAATTTTTACTACCGGTTCTCTGAACTACTCAAAAGTTCTGCTACCGGTTCTCCAGAACTGGTCAGAACCTGCTGAAATTCACCTCTGCTTACGACCACAATTGAGCGCCCCCCCCCATTTATGTTGCTCAGTGAGACATTTGTTAAGTGAATTTTGCCCCATTGTACAACCTCTCCTGCCACAGTTGTTAAGTGGATCACTGCAAGGGTTAAATGAGTAAAACAGGACTTGAACCATGGGACACAAGAAGAGAAAAGAACTTTTATTTTGGGTTTAATGGGAAAAAAAAGATTTGTGGACAAAAATTTGATGATATTGATGGCAGCAAGACGACTTTATGTACGAAAACGGACGGAAGAATGGCTGCAAAAGCTGATGGAGTTAGCAGAGAAGGCTAAATTGACTGCTTTGATCTTAAAAACAAAACAAAACCCCACACAAGTATTTTTGTTTCTATTTGGAAACCGTTTCTGGAGTTTGTGCTTCAGGTGGGGGGGAAAAATGAAACGTTGATTTGGGTTTTTAGTGATTAGATAGATTTATCGTTATACAAATGGCTCACTTACACTATGATGTAAAAATAAAAAAGTTATGGTTGGATGTTACTGTCTTATTCTACGGCACCAGAGGGAGTCGGACGTCAATGCCGTTTCTTTCTTTTTCCCTTCTTCTCTACACTTCTCCCTTCCCCCTTTCCTCCCCTATTTTCCCCCTATTTCCCCTATTTTCCCCCTATTTCCTCCCTTCTCCCTTTCCTCTCTTATAAGGAGTCAAACTATTCTTCAAAGCACCTGAGGGCAGAACAAGAAGCAATGGGTGGAAACTAATCTAGGAGAGAAGCAACTTAGAACTAAGGAGAAATTTCCTGACAGTTAGAACAATTAATCAGTGGAACAAGTTGTGAATGCTCCAACACTGGAAGTTTTTAAGAAGATGTTGGATAACCATTTGTCTGAAGTGGTGTAGGGTTTCCTGCCTGGGCAGGGGGTTGGACTAGAAGACCTCCAAGGTCCCTTCCAACTCTGTAGTTCTATTTCTATTTTTCCTACTATTTGCTTTTGCATTTTTGCGTTTTATTTTATAAACTAATAAAAAATTTAAACAGAAAAAAAAAAGAAGAGAAAGAAAAGAATACAAGATAGAACGACAGAGTTAAGGATCTTGGAGTTTTTGTAATCCAAGCCACTGGTCAGACAAGAAACCCTATATACCATTTCAGACAAATGGCTGTCCAATCTCTTCTTAAAAACCTCCAGTGTTGGAGCATTCACAATTTCTGGAGGCAAGTCGTTCCACTGATTAATTCTTCCAACTGTCAGGAAATTTCTCCTTAGTTCTAAGTTGCTTCTCTCCTTGATTAGTTTCCACCCATTGCTTATTGTTCTACCCTCAGGTGCTTTGGAGAATAGTTTGACTCCCTCTTCTTTGTGGCAGCCCCTGAGATATTGGAACTCTGCTATCATCTCTCCCCTAGTCCTTCTTTTCATCAAACTAGACATACCCAGTTCCTGCAACCGTTCTTCATATGTTTTAGCCTCCAGTCCTCTAATCATCTTAGTTGCTCTTCTCTGCACTCTTTCTAGAGTCTCCATGTCATTTTTTAAATTGTGGTGGCCAAAACCAGATGCAGTGAATAAAAACTGACAGCTCCTGACATCCACAAGTGATTTTCTCTTTCAAAATAAAGACCAACATCCTTCTTCACACAGTTACACGTGTGCCGGACAGAGAATAAAGATGCTTTGGGGTCTGGTATATGGGGCCAACTCTGGAATTGAATTGCCCCCAACATCTGTGCGGAAAGAGGCAGAAAAGGGGGTTTCCAACATTGGAAGGGTACCTGGAATCTCCCCTCATTTCAAACAGAGCGGCGTCAGGAGGGAGAATCCCACATGGGACAGGAACGGAAGAATTTATGGGCATCCCCCTGCGATGATAAAGAGCCTTGGTGGCGCAGCAGACTAAAGTGCTGTTAACTAGCACCAGCTGCCTGCAATTACTGCAAGTTCGAATCTCACCAGGCTCAAGGTTGACTCAGCCTTCCATCCTTTCTAAGGGAGGTAAAATGAGGACCCGGATTGTGGGGGCAATAAGCTGACTTTGTATAAAAAAGAACACCGCTTAGGGGGGGCCCGAAAGCCCTACTAAGCAGGTATATACAAAAGTATGAAGGCTATTGCTTAACGCATTGTAAGTCACCCTGAGTCTCCGGAGAAGGGCGGCATATAAATCGAACCAATAAATAAATAAATAAATGATTAACGCTGCCCAAATGTGCTTTCTTTATTTATGGTTTTCAAACGCAGGTTTGGGTGGCATTTTGTAAACGGCTGGGCGAGGCCACAGGCCACAGGCTTCAGCCTTCTGGCCACGACAGGACAAAGTCTCGCTTTCACTCCGGTTCCCTCGTTAATTCCCAAACCAAATACCCCAAACTTGAAATCAACATGTTAAAAAACAAACTGCGGGTTATTTTGCCGTGTCAGCAAAGTAACGGAGGCTTCTGAGCCGGGGTGGAAAGAGAGAGAGAGCACTGTCCCTACTCCGATACAGATGTGGCATATTTGATTCAGCCCGTGATTATTTTTCTTTATACACGTAGGCCTCGATCACAACTCCGCCCTAATTTTCTGTCGCTAAACGAGACAGAAGCGAAGTGAGTTTCCCCTTCTCCCCCCATTTTACGACTTTTCCTTGCCATTTGTTAAGTTAGTCACATGGTAGTTGAGTCAGAATCTGGCTTCCGCACTGCTTGTCAGAAGGTTCTAGTCCAGTGATGGCTAACCTTTTTGCCGTCATGTGCCAAAAGCGGGAGGAGCATGGGGGGGTTGTGCGTGCTGTGCCCACACCCATAATTCAATGCCCCCCCGCGCCCCGCGTGTGCAACCCCTCCGCACTCCCCCCGCTTTTGGCATATGACAGCAAAAAGGTTACCAGTGGGCCCGTTAGGCCCGTTTTTCGCCCTCCCCAGGCTCCAGAGCCTTTCTAGGAGCTTGGGGAGGACAAAAACGGCCTTCTCTATTTATTTATTTATTTATTTATTTATTTATTTATTTATTTATTTAATTATTTATTTATTTATTTATTTATTTTATTGGATTTCTATACCGCCCTACTCCCGAAGGACTCAGGGCGGTGAACAGCCACAGAATAAAACACATAAATACAAAAATTTAAAATAGAATAAAAACAAATTAAATAATTTGGCTGAGACAAATTTAAAATACCCAATAATTTAAAAACAAATTAAAATTTACATTTTAAAAGGGGAGAAGATTTAGGCCAGGCCAGCTTGATAAAATAAGAAAGTCTTGAGCACGCGACACCCCCCCACCCCGGGAGACCGGAAACACTCTGTTTCCCGACTTCCAGTGGGCCCACAAGGCCCAAAAATCAGCTGGCCGGTGCATGCGTGCACGCTGGAACTGAGCTATGGCAATGCTCGTGTTCCCACAGATATGGCTCTGCGTGCCACCTGTGACACGCGTGCCATAGGTTCGCCATCACAGTTCTAGTCTATTCTAGATAAGGCATCTCCTTTGGAATTCAACCTGGTGCTCCATCACTGGAGGCTTTTAAGAAAAAATTGGAGAACCATTTATCCGGAATGGGACAGGATCTCCTGCCTGAGCAGGGGGTTGGGTTCTACTTACTTTTACTACCGGTTCACAATGGGAGTGCGCGCTTGCGCTTCTCCGCATGCACAGATCGTCAATGATGACGTCCGGGTGGGTGGGCGGAGCCTCCTGCCGCTTTTACTACCGGTTCTAAGGAACCGGACAGAACCAGAAGCAACCTACCACTGGTTGGACTAGAAGACCTCCAAGGTCCCTTCCAACTCTGTTATTCAAGATGGCAAAAAGTGATCATGTGACCCCGGGACACCGCAACCATCATAAATACACAGCATCCAAATTTTGATCACGTCGTGACCACGGGGGCTGCTGCAACGGTCGTAAGTGTGAGAAACAAGTCATTGTTTTTAATGCTGTTGCAACTTGAAATAGTCGCTAAACAAATGTTAAACATCTTTTTTTTTTTTGTACATGGCGGCGACCAAAACTAGATGCAATATTCCAGATGTGGTCTCATCATATTGATATTGCTTAGCGCATTGTAAGCCGCCCTGAGTCTCCGGAGAAGGGTGGCATATAAATCAAAAATAAAATAAAAATAAAAAAATAAAATAAATCAGGGTATTTTTTTAAAAATTTGATTTATATGCGCTAAGTCTTCTCCGGAGACTCAGGGCGGCTTACAATGCGCTAAGCAATAGCCTTCATTCTTTTGTATATTTATACAAAGTCAGCTTATTGCCCCCACAGTCTGGGTCCTCAATTTACTTACCTTAGAAAGGATGGAAGGCTGAGTCAACCTTGAGCCTGGCGAGATTCGAACCTGCAGTAATTGCAGGCAGTTGGTCTTAATAACAGGGTGCTTTAGACCACTGTACTACCAAGGCTCTTATAATTTTATAAAGTGGTATTAACACTTCACCTGATTTTGATTCTATCCCTCTGTTGATGCAGCCTAGAACTGTGTTGGCCTTTTTTTTTTTGGCTTCTCCTCCAAGAAGCTTCTTGATTTTGGCTTCTCATCAGAAGCAAAATATTTTCCCCCCCAAAGAAAACCCCAAGAAAGTCTAGTTGCCTTTTGGAAAAAAAAAACAACATTTGGGACAACCGTGAATCTGGATGATTGAGAATCTCCACAGCATAGGCCGTCTGTGCAGGCCATGGACTACTGGAACTCCTAGCCCTTTACTCATGGTACCCAGATGGCTCCAGACAACTTCCTTGTGTCCAAACATTGGCTCTGTCCAGCTGTTGGGAGCAGACAAGGGCAGGTGTGTGCAGGGAGTTATGGCGATAAACACATTCGCCTTCTTAGTCACCTCGGGAAAGCTAAACAAATGGGGAGCATAGACTATACAAGGGAAAAGCAGGGCACCGAAAATCAACACACCAAATAAACAAGAGAGGGAGGTTACACACATCTGCCCTACTGGATGCCTCCTGTCTGCCATCTGATGCAAAGCCCGCGTGCGCTCAACATCGGCGTTGAGACGGGAAAAGAGGCAACCGACGGAGGGAGAGAAGGACGTGGCGGGGGGGACCGGGGGGACAGACTGTACTAGGAAATCTTCTGTAGGCTAAGCCTGCCAAGAGAACATACGTGTGTTTGTGTGTGTGTGTGTGTGTGTGTGTGTGTGTGTTTGTGTGTGTGTGTGTGTGTGAGCATGTAAGGGTGCCTATGGTTCCAAGAACTCCATTTCATTCTTTCTCTGCGAAAAGAGAAAGGAAGGAAGGAAGGAAGGAAGGAAGGAAGGAAGGAAGGAAGGAAGGAAGAAAGAAAGAAAAAAAGAAAGAAAGAAAGAAAGAAAGAAAAAAGAAAGGAAGAAAGAAAAAAGGAAAGAAAGAAAGAAGAAAGAAAGAAAGGAAAGAAAGAAAGGAAAAGAAAGAAAGGAAAGAAGGAAAGAAAGAAGAAAGGAAAGAAGGAAAGAAGAAGAAAGGAAAGAAGGAAGGAAAGAAAGAAAGAAAGAAAAAAGAAAGGAAAGAAGAAGGAAAGAAAGAAAGGAAGAAAGAAAGAAGAAAGAAAGAAGAAAGGAAAGAAAGAAAGAAGAAAGAAAAAAGAAGGAAAGAAAGAAAGAAAAAAAGGAAAGGAAGGAAAGAAGAAAGAAAAAAGGAAAGAAGGAAAGAAAGAAAAAAGAAAGAAAAAAGAAAGGAAAGAAAGAAAGAAAAAGAAAGGAAAGAAAGAAAAAAGGAAAAGAAAGAAAGGAAAGAAAGAAAGGAAAGAAAGAAAGAAGAAGAAAGAAAGAAAGGAAAGAAAGGAAGGAAAGAAGATAAGAAAGAAGAAGGAAAGAAGGAAAGAAAGGAAGGAAGGAAAGAAAGAAGAAAAGAAAAAAGAAAGAAAGAAGAAAGGAAAGAAAGAAAGGAAAGAAAGAAAGAAGAAAGAAAGAAGAAAGGAAAGAAAAAGAAAGAAAGAAAAAAAAAAGAAAGGAAAGAAAGAAAAAAAAGGAAAGGAAAGAAAGAAAGAAAAAAGGAAAGGAAGAAAGAAAGAAAAAGGAAAGAAAAAAGAAAGGAAAGAAGAAAGAAAAAGAAAGGAAAGAAAAAAAAGGAAAAGAAAGAAAGGAAAGAAAGAAAGGAAAGAAAGAAAGGAAGGAAGGAAGGAAGGAAAGAAAGAAAGAAAGAAAGAAAGAAAGAAAGAGTGTAGGGACTTGGCAATTAGAATGAAACAAAGAGTAGAGCTGATGGCTGGGTTCACACAGCATGCTTAACCAGGTCAGACTTGGTGGGTGAATTCACCCAACATGCCATGCCATGGTTAGCTTTAACAAAGCTTACTTCTTCGTCTCTTTCATTTTATTTTCCTCTTTCTAGTTTAGCTGGCAACACAGAGTTAGTAAAGAGAAAGCTTCTAGTCCTCATGAATCCCTGCCGAAGGAACTGGCGTCAGATGGACCAGGCGCAGGGGCAGAGATGGTAAGATGGTGGAAGGGATGCAGCTCTTACCACTAGGCTCAGATAGAGGGGCTCAGGCTGGGCACAGAGGCGGTAGAGCTTTGTTCCTCAGTTCCAAGTGGTTGGAAACTCAGAACTATAATAAAGGTAAAGGTTTCCCTTGTCCAGTCGTGTCCGACTCTAGGGCACAGTGCTTCGAATGGTCACAAAATAAGGCCATCCGTTAAGTGAGGACCACCACTGTAAACTAAGAAAACTAAGATCATGGCATCCGGCCCTCTCAATTCCTGGCAAATAGATGGGGAAGAAATAGAGGTAGTGACAAATTTAATTTACTGGGCTCCAAGATCACCGCAGATGGGGATTGCAGCCAAGAAATTAAAAGACGCTTGCTCCTGGGGAGGAAAGTTCTGGCAAATCTAGACAGCATACTAAAAAGCAGAGACATCACCCTGCCAACAAAAGTGCATATAGTCAAGGCTATGGTTTTCCCAGTTGCAATGGATGGCTGTGAAAGTTGGAGCATAAGAAAGGCTGAGCGCCAAAGAATTGAGGCCTTTGAACTCTGGTGCTGGAGGAGACTCCTGCGAGTTCCTTGGACTGCAAGGCGATCCAACCGGTCAGTCCTAGAGAAGATCAACCCTGACTGCTCTTTAGAAGGCCAGATCCTGAAGAGGAAACTCAAATGCTTTGGCCACCTAATGAGAAGGAAGGACTCCCTGGGTAAGAGCCTAATGCTGGGAACGATGGAGGGCAAAAGAAGAAGGGGACGGCAGAGAACGAGGTGGCTGGATGGAGTCACTGAAGCAGTTGGCGTGAGCGTCAATGGACTCCAGAGGATGGTAGAAGACAGGAAGGCCTGGAGGAAGGTTGTCCATGGGGTCGCAATGGGTCGGATACGACTTCGCAACTAACAACAACAACAACAATCTGTAATTGACTTACCTTTGGGGCAGGATTTGCAACATTGTCCTGGAAGCACAATAGCATCAGCACAAGGAAGTTTGGGGCAGCTATGCTTAATGTTCTTACAGCTGACTTTGCCTGCCGGTTTCCCTCTCCGATTCCTCTGCTGGAGGAGGAGAAAAAAAAAAATAGAAAATTCTTACAATAGATTATATTCCAATTTTGGATGAATCCGTAGCACTTTTGTGTTTTATTAGAGACGATGCAGCACCTTCCCACCCAGGCCAAATCCCCCTGTCGTTTTGCATTGAATGCTACAATTACTTATCATCGATATTTTGCCTGATTTATGAATGTGGGCATCAACTTTTGGCAGCCAAATAGATCCATTAAATTATTTTCACACTGGTCTTCCAAATCCTATTCCTTCAAAGTGTGGAAGGAAGCAATTTTGAATTGTTCTCGATATACAAAGGAGAGATAATCCTCAACATACGACAGATAATCCTCAACATACAACTGTTCATTCAGTGTCTGAAGTTACCACGGCACTGAAAAAAGTGACTTATGACCATATTTCACACTTACGTCTTGAGAATTGCAGCATTCCCCCATAGTCATCTGATCAAAAGTCGGATGTTTGGCAACTGACTCACATTTATGACGGTTGCAGGCTCCTGGGGGTATGTGTGTCATGTGGTCCCTTTTTACGACCATCTGACACGCAAACTCAATGGGAAAAACCAGATTCACTTAAAAACACTGTTACTCGCTTATCAGCTGCAGCGATTCACTTGGCAACTGTGACGAGAAAGATCGTAAAATGAGGAAAAACGCACTTAACAACCGTCTTTATTTAGCAACGGAAATTTTGGTGATGAAATGTTGCTCGCATGGCCCCAGGACATTGCAACCGTCATAAATAGGAACCAGTTAGTTGCCAAGCAGCTGAATTTTGATCACATGACCATGGGATGCTGTAATGTTTTTTAAGTGTGAAAAACGGTTGTAAGTGCCTTTTTTTAGTTCCGTTGTAACTTCGGTCACCAGGTTGTAAGTTGAGGGCTACTTGCTGTTAGCACCAATCCTTAAAGCAGTGTTTCTCAAGCTTGATAGCTTGATAGCTTGAAGATGGGTGGACTTCAACTCCCAGAATCCCCCAGCCACCCATCTTCAAGCTTCCAAGGTTGAGAAACACTGCCTTAAAGGAACCCATGTAAGATTCTATTTATAAAATGTACGTACAGTGGTGACCAAAATTGCGGAAGCCTTTTGGAAAAAGTCTATTTTCTAAAACTAGCTAATAACACCACTTTTGGGGGGAGTAGTACCATAAAATTATATATCAATGGAAAGATAACTTAATTAAAAACGTAATGCAATAACTTTTAGGAAGGATTTGCTATTAGAATAGCAGTTACAGGATAAAGAAGAAAAGTGAAACACGTAGAAAAAACTAGATATAAAAAATTATCACCATAGAAAAAATGAGATATACAAAAATTATCACCATGTCAGTTAATAGAAAAGCGGTGAAGATCTGGCTTTTCCGGCAGACCTGGGGCCGTTGATCTCGCTTTGCGATCTGACGAGATCCAGCCATGAATGGTGTGAATGGGTTTTAATGCTTTTAATGTTTTTAATTTTTAAGTGTTTTTATAGTGATTTTTTGAGTGTATTGTGAGCCGCCCTGGGTCTTCGGAGAGGGGCGGCATATAAATTGAATAAATAAAATAAAATAAATAAATAAATAAATAGTTGGGTAAACTTTAGCATGAATTACAGCCTTACAACGTCTTCCCATGGAGTGAACCAAGTCTTTTAGTTCTGCAGCTGTTATAATGTTATAATGCCAAAACTGTGGAAACCTTTTGGGGAAAGTGTATTTTTGAAGTTTGATGGCTAATAACACCACTTTTTTTTTTTTTGGAGTTTCAAGATAATCCTATTCCACTGCTGGAATGGCCTGGGAATAGCCCAAACCTTAACCCAATTGAAAATCGATGGAGCCAACTAAAGAAACTTGTTAGTCAGAAGCGACCCAGCAATAAAACCCAGTTAATCGAAGCGATCCTTCAATCTTGGTTTCACATTAGAATAGCTGCAGAACTAAAAGACTTGGTTCACTCCATGGGAAGACGTTGTAAGGCCGTAATTCATGCTAAAGGTTATCCAATCCAGTATTAATGGACATGGTGATAATTTTTGGCTTATCATACCATTGCCTAGAACAGAGGTCTTCAAACTTGGCAGCTTTCAGATTTGTGGACTTCAACTCCCAAAATATCTCATTTTTTCTATGGTGATAATTTTTGTATATCTCATGTTTTCTACGTGCTTCACTTTTCTTCTTTATACCGTAACTGCTATTCTAATAGTAACTCTTTCATAAAAGTTATTGCATTACGTTTTTAATTAAATTATCTTTCCATTGATATATAATTTTATGGTACTTCTCAAAAAAAAAAAGTGGTGTTATTAGCTAGTTTTAAAAAATATACTTTTCCCAAAAGGTTTCCACAATTTTAGCCCACTACTGTATTTAATATTATATGTCTTGAGAGCTGCAAGAATTGTTTTTCCACTGTATTGGAAAAATGAGGAAACACCTACGGAAGATGTAATTAAAAAAAAAAATACTAGATTGTGCAGAAATGGACAGATTGACATTAAAAATAAAAGAAAAAGAAGATACAGAATATTTTCGAACATGAGACTTGTTTTATAAATGGTTGGATAATAGAGGTAGAAATTAGGAGCTGGGAAAGTATTATTATGTAAGCAAATGGATCCAGACAATACGCTATTCACAAAGCACTTATGTATGTAAACTGAAAATGTATAAACTGTTTTTAAAAATGAACCAATTGTCAAGCATCCGAATGTAAATCAAAATGGCCATGGGGATGCTGCAATGGTCATAAGTGTGAAAAAATGAGTATCAGTCAACTTTTTATCCAGTGGCGTTGTAACTTCTAAATGGTCACTAAACGAACTATTGTAAGTCAAGGACTGCTTGTATCAGAATCCCTCATTTCCCAGAAACCTGGGAAATCTGGCTAATTGAGCCTTGATAGTACAGTGGTCTAAGCACCCTGTTATTAACACAGCTGCCTGCAATTTACTGCTGGTTCGAATCTCTCCAAGGCTCAAGGTTGACTCAGCCTTCCATCCTTTCTAAGGTAGGTGAAATGAGGACCCAGATTGTGGGGGCAATAAGCTGACTTTGTATAAAATATACAAAAGGATGAAGGCTATTGCTTAGCGCATTGTAAGCCGCCCTGAGTCTCCGGAGAAGGGCGGCATATAAATCAAATTAAAAAAATAATAATAATTCAACCGCACCTGCCTTTTAACCTGGCTCTACAATGACACTTACTGGTTCGCAGGTGCACACTACACAGTGCATAATGCCAAAGGGTTCCCCTAAATCAGGATGCCAGGTATCCTCCAAGGTGTAGAACCGGCCACCGAAATAACATCCTGCAAAGAAAAAGGAATTTTGAATGCTCCAGAACAGGGGTCTCCAACCTTGGCAACTTTATTAAGCCTGGCAGACTTCAACTCCCAGAATTCCCCAGCCAGCTGCTTCAGAAAACAGTGCATTGAACTGGCTGCCATGTTTTTTTCCCTCATCTGTGGAGTGAGTTGCTGCTTATCATACCATTGCCTAGAACAGAGGTCTTCAAACTTGGCAGCTTTTAAGACTTGTGGACTTCAACTCCCAGAATTCTCCAGCCAGCATAGTGGCTGGAGAATTCTGGGAGTTGAAGTCCACAAGTCTTAAAGCTGCCAAGTTTGAGGACCTCTGACCTAGAACATTGGTGTCAAAGTCGATTTCATCGAGGGCCGCATCGGGGTTGTGTTTGACCTCATGAGGGGACGTGGCCAGCTTGACGTCACTCATGTCGGGGACGCCTGTGGTGGCTCGAGCGCTCCCAGCGAAAACGGGCTCCTGAGCTCCATTTTCTCTGTCAGAAGCATCACTGGCCGGTCCTTTGCTGTTTTTCCAGGGCGACCCTGCGGGTCAGAACTAAGCACCCTGCAGGCTGGATCCGGCCCCCCCGGCCTTGAGTTTGACACCCGTGGCCTAGACTGTGGGCCTTTATCCTGTCCCCCTCAAGGTCCTTCCCACACACTCTTACATCATTCCCATCCCATCCCATCCCTTCCCAAGTCCTTTGAGAGAAGGGCGGCATATAAATACGTGTAAATAAATAAATAAATAAATAAATAAATAAATAAATAAATAAATAAATAAATAGTTAGTTAGTTAGTTCCAAACTGGAAAGGAGACAACTTGCTTGCTTCTTTATTCTTATCCCACTCTTGCCCCCCTCCTCCATTACACTGAGCTAAAGGCTTAGCCATTGCTGCATTTATCTAAACGACTTTACTTTATGTATTGTGCAAAGAATGCAATGTGAAACTGGCCCATTTAGTCTGGGACAGAGGTCACCAACCTTGGCAACTTTAAGCCTGGCGGACTTCAACTCCCAGAATTCCCCGGGCAGCAAAGAGAATTCTGGGAGTTGAAGTCCGCCAGGCTTAAAGTTGCCAAGGTTGGAGACCCCTGGTCTAGGATGAAGCAGATGATGTGAACCCAGAAAATTGTTTTTTATTTTTTAGTTTGTCAAGCATATATAAGATAACAGGTAAAAGTATAAACATAATTTGAATACATGAAAAGAGTAAGTAAAAAAGGAATATTAGAAAAGGGATGGTAGGCACGCTGGTGCACTTATGCAGGCCCCTTACAGACCTCTTAGGAATGGGGTGAGGTCTACAGTAGACAGTTTAATTTAACAGGTTAAATCTCTGCAGCCGGAGCGCGCTCACCTCTGGATACACGTAACATCACCAAGAATCATTCCGATGAACAAAGCAAAAAATAAGAAACTAAAGAATTGACGCGTGTGGAATACCCAAGACAAGCAAGTGGGGAATGAGGCCAAAACGAAGGAGAACCTGTATTCACCCAAGTGATTTCAACCACCGAAGGAAGGGGACCCCATATCCATCTCTCTCTCTCTCTTCACCCCCCAGATTCCAAAAATCTGTCCCAAAGTCGCCTCGGGAGTCCCTTTCCCCCTAAACGGCAGATCTAACAGAACTCGGAAGGTGCGGCCGCGCCTCTTTGGAGTTCTTCACACGTTCAAAAACACACGCCGTCAGGTGGGAAAGGACGGGAGAGGGTCGCGCTGCCGAGCAGAATACAGAATAGCAAGAGTTGGAAGGGGCCTTGAAGGTCCTCTAGTCCAACCCCCTGCTCAAGCAGGAAACCCTTATACATTTCAGATATTTAAACGGTGGTCCAATCTCTTCTTTAAAAGCCTCCAGTGTTTGGAGCAGCCCCAACTTCTGGTGGCAAGTCGTTCCACTGATTAAATATTTGAACTGTCCAGGAATTTTTCATTTATTTATTTATTTATTTATTTATTTATTTATTTATTTATTTATTTATTATTAATTTTAATTATTTAATTAATTAAATTAATTATTAAATAAATTAATAATTAAACTTATTTAATTAATAATTATTATTATTATTACTAATTATTACTAATTATTATTTATTTGTTTGTTTGTTTGATTTATATGCCGCCCTTCTCCGGAGACTCAGGACGTCTTACAATGCTTTTAAGCAATAGCCTTCATACTTTTGTATATACCTACTTAGTAGGGCTTTTTGCTCCCCCCCCCAAGCGGTGTTCTTTTTTTTATTTTTATACAAAGTCAGCTTATTGCCCCCGCAAACCGGGTCCTCATTTTACCTACCTCGGAAGGATGGAAGGCTGAGTCAACCTTGAGCTTGGTGAGAATTGAACTCGCAGTAATTGCAGGCAGCTGGCAGCTAAATACTACTTTTTAACAGTAGTTTAGTCCGTTGCACCACCAGGCTCCTTATTTTCTAGGTTTCATGGATCTCTCTTTAGTGATCGTCTATCCTTTATTTCTTGTCCTGCCTCCCGGTGCTTTGGAGAATAGGTGGGCACTGGGCTCCCTCCTCTTTGTAACAGCCCCTCCAATATTGCATCCCACGGCCACCGGTTTGCCGCTCCCCCCCCCGCCCGCACTCCGGCGCCTCCCCTTCCCCCATCTCTGCCTCCCGGGATGTTCCCAGCTCCCGCGGTTCCCTAGTACAGGTCTCCTGCGTGAATAGGGGGTTGGACTAGATGATCTCCAAGGTCCCTTCCAATTCTACTGTTACTGAGCCTGTAGTACAGTGGACTAAAGCACTGTTATTAACATCTGCTGCTTGCAATTACTGCAAGTTCAAATCTCACCAGGCTCAAGGCTGACTCAGCCTTCCATCCTTTCTAAGGTAGGTAAATTGAGGACCCGGTTTGTGGGGGCAATAAGCTGACTTTGTATAAACATACAAAAGTATGAAGACTATTGCTTAACGCATTGTAAGCCGCCCTGAGTCTCCGGAGAAGGGCGGCATATAAATTAAAGCAAAAAAACAAAAACAAAAAAAACCCTGAGTTCTCGCCCTTCCAACGCATGCGACCACCGACCTATAATAACCACCCCTCCGAGATTGGCGGGGCTCCAAGGGCCAGTGGGGTCCTGGAGAGAGAGGGGGTGACCCCCCCAAGTTCCCCCACGGGTCTGCCCTTCCCCCCACCCTCCCCCGACGTGGCTACGGAACTGATCGAGCGTAGCGGCCGGGAATGTGCTCAAGGGCCGTTGAAGCCAGCTGGAGTCGGTTCGAGTCCCGCCAGACTCGCCAAGAGAGAGACCCGGATCCGCCCTTAGAGGAGGCAATCTTCCATACTTGGGGGGGGGGGGGGGCCACAAAAAAGAGGGGGTCAAGCTATTCTCCAAAAGCATCTGAAGGCTGGACCAGAAGCCACGGATGTCAACTATTCAAGGAGAGAAGCAATTTAGAACTAAGGAGGAATTCCCCAAGAGCAAGATTTGTAGGGACCAAATCTTTTTTTTTTCCTCCCCTTTTATCTTTGCTGTCACACCTGAAGGCAGGACCAGGAGTAAAGGATGGAAACTGATCAAAACAGAGGTCCAGCCTAGAACGAAAGAGAAATGTCCTGACAGGGAGAACAATTAACCAGTGGAACGACTTGCCTCCAGAAGTTGTGAATGCTCCAACACTGGAAGTTTTTACGAAGAGGTTGGATAATTTATCTGGAATGGTAGATAGGGGTTCTTGTCTGACCAGTGGGGTTGGATTAGAAAAACCTCCAAGGTCCTTTCTAACTCTGTCATTCTATCTTGTATTCTTTTCTCTTCTTTCTTTTCTTTTTTTTCTGTTTAAAACGTTGATTAGTTGATAAAATAAAACGCAAAAAAAATGCAAAAGGGGCCTGGTGGCTCAGCAGACTGATAGCATTGTGATTAACACCAGCTGTCTGCAACTACTGTAAGTTCGAATCTCACCAGGCTCAAGGTTGACTCAGCCTTCCATCCTTTCTAAGGTAGGTAAATTGAGGACCCAGTTTGTGGGGGCAATAAGCTGACTTTGTATAAAATATACAAAAAGTATGAAGGCTATTGCTTAACGCATTGTAATCCGCCCTGAATCTCCGGAGAAGGGTGGCATATAAATCAAATTAAAAAAAAGAAAAAGCAAATAGGAGGAAAAACAGAGGAGGAAAGGGGGAAGGGAGAAGGATAGAGAAGAAGGGAAAAAGAAAGAAAAGGCACTGAATGGATGAATGATAAAATGAAAGGAAGATAAAAAGGGGTGTTAAATAAAAGTAAAAAGTAATTTGAAATGACACCAGAAATATATTTTGTATATAGTTAAAACCACTGCACATCTGATATCAGGGGTTAAAACCTGGGGTTTTAAAATTGAATTGAGCCGAATTCATTTAATAATTTTAAACTATTTTAACTGATGTTGTCTTGTGTTTCAATAGGCTGTACACCGCCCTGAGCCCTTCGGGGAGAAGGGCGGTATAGAATTATTCTATTCTAAATTATTCTATTAATGGAAATGTCAATATATTTATGCTTTTTTTTTGTTTTTTTTTAAATTTGATTTATATGCCGCCCTTCTCCGAAGACTCAGGGCGGCTTACAATGTGCTCAGCAATAGCCTTCATCCTTTTTGTATATATTTATACAAAGTCAGCTTATTGCCCCCACAAACTGGGTCCTCATTTCACCTACCTTAGAAAGGATGGAAGGCTGAGTCAACCTTGAGCCTTGGCGAGATTCGAACCCTGCAGTAATTGCAGGCAGCTGGTCTTAATAACCAGCTTAATAACAGGGTGCCTTAAACCCCTGTACTACCAAGGCTCTTAAACTCAATAAACTTTTAAACTCAATAAAGTTTCTTTGGCAAAAAAAAAAAAAGAAAAGAAAAAAGAGAAGAAGGGGAAAAAGACCAAAATAAAAAATAAAAAAACGGCATGGACGTCCGACAGGCATTCTTGTCTGATCAGGGTTGGACTAGAAGACCTCCCGAGGTCCCTTCCGAAACTCTGTTTCTTATTCTCATTCATAGGCGTCAAAAATCCCGTCCGGGAAGAAGGAAGAAACTCGCTCCGCTTCCAGGCAGCCCTACCTTGCGCTCCTTTGGAAGGCAGCGGCTCCGTCGACTCGGGCTGGATGAGCAGGAGGGTCTTGGCGGGTCCCACGGGCGACCCCGGGCCCGGCCACGCGAGGGCGAAGGGCGGCAGCAGCAATAGCAGCAGCGGCCGCAGCTGTGAGCCCGAGAGGCTCATCTCGGTGGAGGCGATCGCGGATCCCGGAGCGAATCACCGCCCCCTCTGGACCAGCCCCGGATCCCGTCGGGGTTTTTATAGGCTCCCGGCATCGGCTGAGCCGAACGGAGGGCGATTTCTTGAGCAAACAAAGGCGAGGATGGATTGCAGATCGCAGCCCCAGCGGGGGGGGGGGGGGGGGGGGGGGGGGGGGGGGGGGGGGGGCTGTCTGTATGCTGGAGGGATGGAGAAGAGGGGGGGGTGTCGGGGAGCCCCTCCTGCCGCCTACGCCCCTTTCCCCCCCTCTCCCCAGGGGATGAAGCCCATGCAGGGGGGACTCCCCCGAGGGTCCCCATCAGAGCCTAGGGTGGGAAGGGGCGGGAGAAAGAAGCCCCCTCCCCAAAACCCCAAATGTCCTTCTGTGGCCTTCCTTCGCTCCCCACCCATCCAGCCCCCCCAGCCCCCCGAATGGCTGGCTGGGCCACCCCCCCCCACCTTTCCCCTGCACCCGCAGATCGTCACTGACCCCCAAGCCGGTGGCGGGGGGGAGGCGAGCGTAGGGGGGCTGTCTGTATGCTGGAGGGATGGAGAAGACGGGGGTCGGGGAGCCCCTCCTGCCGTCTACACCCTTTCCCCCCCTCCCCAGGGGATGAAGCCCATGCAGGGGGACCCCCGAGGGTCCCCATCACAGCCTAGGGTGGGAAGAGGCGGGACAAAGAAGCCCCCTCCCCAAAACCCCAAACGTCCTTCTGTGGCCTTCCTTCACTCCCCAGCCCCCCAGCCCCCCGAACGGCTGGCTGGGCCACCCCCCCACCTTTCCCCCCCACCCCCAGATTGTCACCGACCCCGAAGCCAGGGGGGCGCGAGTGTGGGGGAGGGGGCTGTCTGTATGCTGGAGGGATGGAGAAGACGGGGGTCGGGGAGTCCCTCCTGCCACCTACGCCCCTTCCCCCCCCTCCCCAGGGGATGAAGCCCATGCAGGGGGACCCCCGAGGGTCTCCATCACAGCCTAGGGTGGGAAGGGGCGGGAGAAAGAAGCCCCCTCCCCAAAACCCCAAATGTCCTTCTGTGGTCTTCCTTCGCTCCCCACCCATCCAGCCCCCCAGACCCACAAACGGCTGGCTGGGCCACCCCCCCACTTTTCCCCTGCACCCCCAGATCGTCACCGACCCCCAAGCCAGTGGCGGGGGGGGGTGGCGAGTGTGGGGGAGGGGGCTGTCTGTACGCTGGAGGGATGGAGAAGAGGGGGGGTCGGGGAGCCCCTCCTGTCGCCTCCATCCCTTCCCCCTCAGCGGACGAAGCCCATGCAGGGGGACCCCCGAGGGTCCCCTATCACAGCCTAGGGTGGGAAGGGGCGGGAGAAAGAAGCCCCCTCCCCAAAACCCCAAACGTCCTTCTGTGGCCTTCCTTCGCTCCCCACCCATCCGGCCCCCCAGCCCCCCGAACAGCTGGCTGGGGCCACCCCCCCACCTTTCCCCCCCACCCCCAGACCATCACTGACCCCCAAGCCGGTGGCGGGTGGGGGGAGGCGAGCGTGGGGGGGAGCTGTCTGTACGCTGGAGGGATGGAGAAGAGGGGGAGTCAGGGAGCCCCTCCTCTTACCTCCATCCCTTCCCCCTCAGCGGACGAAGCCCATGCAGGGGGACCCCCGAGGGTCCCTATCACAGCCTAGGGTGGGAAGGGGCGGGAGAAAGAAGCCCCCTCCCCAAAACCCCAAACATCCTTCTGTGGCCTTCCTTCCCTCCCCAGCCACCACCCCCCCGAACAGCTGGCCTGGCAACCCACTTCCCCTCCGCCTTCCCCCCACCCCCCCAATTCCTCGCCACCGACCCCCAAGCTGGCCCAGAGGGAAAGCCGTGGTGCCCCTAGAGACGTAGATGTGACAGGGAGCCTTCCCGTAATACTTTCGGAGACCCCACTTCTGCCTGCCCAGTTTGCACCCCCCAAAAAAGCGCTTTATTCCAAGCCGTTCAAAAAAGTGCTTAAAATGGACTAGGGAGACCCCCATTTCTTCCACCCATCATGCTTCCTATATGCCACCACCACCCCTTGCCAAAATGAAAAGTTCGGGTCCCACCAGAAAGTGGGGGCTTATCTCTCCCTTTCCAGCCCCTACTGAATAAATTGTCCCTTCCTCCAGAAGGGGGTTCTTTCATAAGGATTCCCCCACCACCTGTGCGTCAAAGTAATATATGAAATCAGGATGCTAATCCCACATTCTGATATAACTCCATATGAGCATGAACCCTCAGCAATCCTGTTTCTTCTCCCAGTTCAGCTCCCAGTTCCAAACTGGGGTGTCCCAAATCTGTAGCCTTCTGTCTCCCTGCATTGACCTAATACACAGTTTTCCCCAAGAGAATTGGGTTGGGTTCGGGGATGATGGACACTGTAATAATCCATCACATCTGCAGAGCCCACAGAACCCTAGCACTCCATCCATGCCCCTTTTCGCCCTTCTGAAATTGGCAGGTGGGCCCCAAATGTTTGTTGGCCTTTAGGATCGGGTGCAGACAGAGGATCTGTTTGCCTTGCCTGGAAGCTTCTTGAGATGCAACCTGAGGTTGAGGATGGTGACCGAAGTTTGGTGTTTTGTCTGGAACATCAAATAGCAACGGTGGGATTGTTGTTGTTAGTTGCGAAGTCGTGTCCGACCCATCGCGACCCCATGGACAACCTTCCTCCAGGCCTTCCTGTCCTCTACCATCCTCTGGAGTCCATTTAAGCTCACGCCGACTGCTTCAGTGACTCCATCCAGCCATCTCCTTCTCTGCCGTCCCCTTCTTCTTTTGCCCTCCATCGTTCCCAGCATTAGGCTCTTCTCCAGGGAGTCCTTCCTTCTCATTAGGTGGCCAAAGTATTTGAGTTTCATCTTCAGGATCTGGCCTTCTAAGGAGCAGTCAGGGTTGATCTCCTCTAGGACTGACCGGTTTGATGGCCTTGCAGTCCAAGGGACTCGCAGGAGTCTCCTCCAGCACCAGAGTTCAAAGGCCTCAATTCTTTGGCGCTCAGCCTTCCTTATGGTCCAATTTTCCCAGCCATCCATTGCCACTGGGAAAACCATCGCCTTGACTATATGCACTTTTGTTGGCAGGGTGATGTCTCTGCTTTTTTGTATGCTGTCTAGATTTGCCATGGCTTTCCTCCCCAGGAGCAAGCGTCTTTTAATTTCTTGGCTGCAGTCCCCATCTGCGGTGATCTTGGAGCCCAGGAGAATAAAATTGGTCACTACCTCCATTTCTTCCCCATCTATTTGCCAGGAATTGAGAGGGCCGGATGCCATGATCTTAGAACTGTGGGATACGGTTGTGCGAACTTCTGAAAAGATGTAAAATGTAGAGGCCGATCTGGAGTCCTTACATGAGGTCCTTCCTCTTTTGACATTGATTTGATCGGCCTGAAGCAAAGGCAGTTTTGAACCTTTTTCAAAAAGTGAGGTACAGGTAGTCCTCAACTTACAACAGTTCATTTAATGACTGTTCAAAGTTCCTGGGGGAAAAAATGACTTAGTTAGGACCGTTTTTCAAAGTTACGACCGTTGCAACATCTGCGGGCCCGCATGAACCAAATTTGGATTCATATTTATGACGGTCTGCAGTGTCTCTGGGTCCGGAGATCCCCTCTGGCGCCCTTCGGATGAGCAATGTCAATGGGGAAGCCAGATTCGCTTAGCGACCGCGTGACCGACTTAACAATGGCAGTGATTCACTTAACAACGGCGGTGAGAAAAGTCGTAAAATGGGACAAGGCTCACTTAAGAACGGTCTTGCTTAGCAACAGAATTTTGGGGGAGCTCAATTGTGGTCGTAAAGCGAGGACTACCTGTATTTCTCTCTGTACTTTTCCCAATTGTATTATCAGCTTTTTTTTTTTTTAAGGGTTGGGAGAAGAGAACTGGACTGGAGGACTTCAAAGAGGAGCAAATTTGGAAAATAAATTTTGTTCCAAGAGTTGAAATAAAGTAAATTTATGTTTAAGATATATGAAAAAAAATACTTCTCCTTTGTATTCTCTTGATTTCTGTGCCGTTTACCATCTTTCTGTGTTCACCTTTCTCGTGTATAACCTGAATTCTGTGACTTCCTGGCAATTTCTAGCTCCCGTGCAAATATTAACCAGTCCTGGCCCTGCTTAGCTTCTGAAGCTAGAAAGATTTCCCAGAGGTTGATATCTGATCAATCCTCCCTGATAACATTCAGCAAACCATGTTTGTTTGCCAGCTTTTTAACAAGCTTCCAACCCTTCCCAAATGTGGAGATTCCGTTTCTAGAATCTAAAGCTTCTGGAATTGGCAACCTTAGGATGACACTTCCAGTCAGGCCACCATAGTGACATAGGACACAACATGGGAGAAGTGAGCGGCTGAGATGATGAGGCTGCGGGAAAGGCCCTTGTTAGACTCTCAGCAAAAACTGGAGGAGGATCCAAGGAGGAGGAGGAGGAGGAGGAGGAAGGAGAAGGAGAAGGAGAAGGAGAAGGAGAAGGAGAAGGAGGAGGAGAAGAAGAAGAAGAAGAAGAAGAAGAAGAAGAAGAAGAAGAAGAAGAAGAAGAAGAAGAAGAAGAAGAAGAAGAAGAAGAAGAAGAAGAAGAGTGGAGTGGAGAGGAATGGAATGGAATGGAATGGAATGGAATGGAATGGAATGGAATAGAATAGAATAGAATAGAATAGAATAGAATAGAATAGAATAGAATAGAATAGAATAGAATAGAATAGAATTCTTTATTGGCCAAGTGTGATTGGACACACAAGGAATTTGTCTTTGGTACATCGGCTCTCAGTGTACATAAAAGAAAAGATACGTTCGTCAAGAATCATAAGATACAACACTTAATGATAGTCATAGGGTACAAATAAGCAATCAAATCATATTAGGAAATACGAAAAGAAATATGAAAAGAAGAAGAAAGAAGGAAGGAAAGAATGAAAGAAAGAAAGAAAGGAAAGAAAGAAAAAGGAAAGGAAAGGAAAGAAAGAAAGAAAGAAGGAAAGAAAGAAAGAAAGAAAGAAAGAAAGAAAGAAAGAAAGAAAGAAAGAGTGTAGGGACTTGGCAATTAGAATGAAACAAAGGGT